GACAAGTTCTTTGTCTCTGTCCCTCTCTGACGCTCTAATCTGAAAGGCCGAGTGATGGAAAGAGAGATCTTTCCATCTGGTGTCCCACTGGGGGAACAGGAATTCAAGCACTTGGCTCATCTTATGCTGCTTTCCCAGTACATTAATAGGGGCTGGATTGGAAGCAGAGAGGCTAGAACCCAAGCATAGTTCCAATATAGAATGCCAGCATTAGGGGGGCAGAGGTTTAACACACTGTGCCACAGTACAGGCCCCTCAATATATGTATTTTTAAGCTGGCTCTTGTTAGGACAGTGGCTATTCTTGGGGTCTTGAGGGCAATGGGAACTGGAGGAGGACAGACCGGAGACCTTGTGTCCATGGGGAGTTACAAAGCCCTGCCTGCATGGACTGGCTCATTTCTCCACGTGTTTGAGTACAACGCCTCAACAAGACATGGAGGGTGGTGGCAGAGAGGCTGTGGGGAAATGGGTTGAACTACTTGCGATGCCCAGTTCCCAGACTGGCATTACTTGGAGACCTGGTTCCTCCACTTCTGATCCAGCTTCCTGCCAATGTCCCTGGGAGAGCAAGCGACCGTAGTCCCCGAGTTCCGTTCCTCCATCAGCATGGCTTTGGCCTGACCTGGGCCAGCCCTGGCTAGCTGGTGAGTGCACCAATATATGAAAGATCTCTCTCTTCCTGACACTCTTTCAGATAATCTAAAATGAATAATTATTTTATTTTAAAAGATTTGTTTATTTATTTAAAAGTGAGAGAGAGAGGTGTATCTTCCAACTTCTGGTTCACTCCCCAGATGGCCACAGTATCCAGGGCTAGGCCAGGCTGAAGCCAGGAGCCAGGAGCTCCTTCTGGGTTTCCCATGTGGATGCATGCAGCCTGAATGCTTGGGCCATCTTCTGCTGCTTTCCAAGGCACATGGGCAGGGAACTGGATCAGAAATGGAGCAGCTGAGACTCAAACCGGCACCCATAGAAGATGTTGGCATCACAGGTGGCGGTGTTACCTGCTATGCCACAATGCCAGCCCCTGAATAATCATTTGTTTTTAACAAGTGGATTACAGTTTACTAGGTTGGCAGTGAAAGGCGTGTGACACAATTAGAAGAAGTATGCAACATCTGAGTTGAACTGAATCTGAAATTTCTGGGGAAAAAAAAAATCAGTAGGTGACACCACGGGCCATGACCTTTCCCCGCGACACTGGGGCCTGACAGGGCAGAGCAGGGAGCAAGCCTGCAGCAGGGCTGGCAGTGGCTGCTGAGATGTGTAATGAGCCCCAAGGCAGGCCGAGGGCTCAGCTCCAGGCCTCTGTAGGGGATGCAGCTAACTGGATCCATTAAGAAGACCGAGATCCTGCTGTGTGTCCCATGCTGGGAGTGCCAGCTGCGGCCTGGGGGCTGCAGTGGAGGCTGTGCCCAAGCAGCCTGTGGCCACTGTGGGCTCTGTCAGTCTTGCCTTGAAGATTTTCCCAGATTTCTGTGGACGCTGGAACCGAGCCCCTCAACGACAGGAGCCCACGCATCAGGAGCTGTCACATCTGCAGTAAGAGGTAGGAGGAAACCCCGAAATATCCCCCAGATTATGACTTTTTAAATAGTAGGCCACCGGAACTGTTCCCAAGGAGTGGGATGGGGAGCCAGGAGCCAGGAACCTCCTCCGGGTCTCCCCCACAGGTGCAGGGTCCCAAGGCTTTGGGCCGTCCTTGACTGCTTCCCCCAAGCCATAAGCAGGGAGCTGGATGGCAAGAGGAGCAGCTGGGACACAGACCAGTGCCCAAGGGAATCCCGGAACATGCGAAGTGAGGATTTAGCCACTAGGCTATTGCGCCAGGCCCTGACACTTGCATTTTGAACTCTGGGTACAGAATGTCCCAGTCAAGGACTGAATATGAGAAGTCTTAAGGCCCTCGAATCACATGTGTGGGTTTGAACCCCCAGTGCAATGGGTTTAACGGGTATTGTCCCACACATTGGTGGCATGGGCACCCCAGTGTGCAGTACCCCAAGGAAGCGGGATCTTTAAGCAGCAGATGGGGAGTGCCTCAGGACCATGCGGGCAGTGCCCTTGAAGGGAGCTGGGATGTCCCACCAGCCCCTGGTGAATTCAGCAAGAGTTCCAGGTGTTTCTCCAGGCTTGGAGGGGCAAGGGACAAACAGCTACAAGCACTGCTCCCCAGGGTACAAATCAGCAGGAAGTTGGGGGCTGAAGGCAGGCCATGTCACGTGATGGTGTCTTCGCCTGCTCCCTGGGGTGAGCCTGGACCTGCCCCCAGCTCTCTCTGATTCCCTGTACCAAGCTGTGCTCCTGCACCTGCTAAGCACGCCCTCTGTTTATAAAGTTAGCTTGCCTCAAGAATTTTAGTACAGGAACATACAGCGGCTAGATGCAGATGACAACCAACAGAAAGGGACCAGAATGGGAATGACAAAATGGCCACGGAGAACAAACCCGCCTTCCTCACTCTCCAGTAACCTGAACCATTTTCTCAACCTGTCTGGGAAACTGGCCTGAGTGGAAAGCCAGTGTGATCATGAAAGAGACGAAAGGATGTTGGTGACCCATCTGGAGAGAAGCAGGCTCCGTGCCAAGCCACACAGGAGGCCAGCTGACCTGTGGTGACCCCATAAGCCCCGAGATAGAACTTGGTCCCTGGCCGGTAGCAGCCACCACCCGTGGGAGGGGAGGTTGGAAGGCAGGACAAGCCCGCCTCACCAGGAGCACTTTTCTTCAACATCCCTGGACAAACTTTCCAGGGGGCAAAAACCCCCAGGTCACTCTCCTTCAGGTCTTTGTCCTGCCACAGAAGCCTCACCCAGCAGCTTTCCTGCGCTTGGCTGAAGATGCCCTTCCCGGTTCATGGATCAGCCTGGTCCTCTGCCCGGGATGGAGCGAGGTCCCGGGCGTCATCTCAGCTGTAAGTCAAACCACTGCATCTGGTGGCTGGCTGAGACGAGCAGGCTTTCCATCGCTCCATGAGCTTCTTGTGGCAACGCGTCCAGCAGGTGGACTGAGTAGCAGATACAAGTGCCTTGAGGGATTGTCGGGGAGACCTTGGAGGCATCTGGAGGAAGGGGCCCCTGCTCAGGATCTCGGTTAGATTTCAGGGAACAGTTCACGTGAGGACCACGTGGCTGCTTCTGGAAGAATGTGAGCAGAGCTGGCTGATGAGTCAAGAATGAAGAAATGGATCTGGGCAGGAGTCAGACACAGAGCTGGCAGGACGGTGTGTGGAGTCAGGGCCAAGAACACGGCTGTGGACATCTCTGTCAAGACCTTGGGGAGATTTAAGAGGCTCAAAGCAGGCTTGAAATAGAGAAGTTTGTTTGAAGGGACTGTGGCCGTAGCTTTTGTCTCTTCAACTCCAAGTCCCACAGGATGCCTACCAGCTTTTAAGACCATTGGTCCAGTGAAAAAGGGCCTCCCATCTCAGGGCCAGTGCCATGGCCCAGCCGGGCATCCAGCTCACTGCTGATGCCCCGGGGACGGTGCCGGATGAGCCGAGTGCAGGGCCCCCTGCACCCCATGGGTGGAACCCCTGCCCAGATCCGAGCGTTGTGTCCATTTAAGGAGTGAACCAGCAGAGATCTGCACGCACCCTTCCTATCTCTCCCTCTCTGTCACTCTTGCCTTTCATCCTAATCAATAAATCTTAAAAGAAGAATATCTTCAGGTTAAATGAAAAGGGTTAGAGAAAGTTGAACATGAAAAAAAAAATCTGAATGCTATTTGTACAAGCCGGAAGTATATTGAGAAAACCACCTAGTTTAAAACTCATTTCTTATGCAAAAATAAGAGTCAGCGGCAAAAAACCAAAAAGAAGCTTTCCCTGCCATGCCACAAGGCCAGACCGCAGATGACACATCTTATTTTTTTTTTTTAATTTTGTTTTTACTTGAAAAGCTAAGTTACAGAGAAGACAGAGAGAGAGAGATTGAGAGAGAGAGAGATTGAGAGAGAGGTCTTTCATATGCTGACTTACTCCCCAAATGCCTGTAGTGGTCAGGGAGGGACAAAGACAAAGATCTGCCATCTGCTGGTTCACTCCCCAAATGGCCACAACAGCCGGAGCTGAGTTGATCCAAAGCCAGGAGCCAAGAGCTTCTTCTAGGTCTCCCAAATGGATGCAGGGACCCAGGATTTTGAGCCATCTTGCCCAGACCAGAAGCTGGGAGCTGGTTCAGAAGTGTAGTAGCCGGAACACGAACCAGTGTCCATATGGGCCTAGCCCACTATGCCACAGCACCAGCCCCCCAAGATGATGTATTTAAGCAGTGAGAGCTGTCTAGCCACTGATTCAACCTCCCAATGTTCTCAAACAGCTAGTACAAGGCCAGGCTGAAGCGAGCAGCCAGGACCCCTACTCTGGTCTCCCACATGGTTGGCAGGAAAAGAAGTGCTTGAGCCATCCTCTGCTGCCCTCCCAGACGCCTTCAGAGGATGCCCTCCCAGAGGTGGAAGGGAAGTGGACAGCTGGGGCTGGAGAGAGACTTTGCCACGGGAGCTGTGTGTCCTAAGTGTGGCTGATGCCACTGCGTCACAACGCCTGCCACGTCGGTGATCCTCATTCTCTTCTTCGTAGAAGAATCCTTGCTGATGAACGAAGTGATTCATGCCCAGTGTGCAGGTAAGACACACAGGCAAGGAAGGGTTGGGGCTCTGGCTGCTGTGCGCCTGCTCACAGCACACGGCACCCCGATCCAGCTCCCACAGTGCCCGTGTGCCGTGAGGGCTGGCCAGCTGCTGCCCCGCGTGTGGAAGCGGCCATGACCTGCGCTCACCGTTACAGCCACGCTTGTAAACCAGAGAGCCATGGAAAAGATCTGTGAGATAAAGTAGCCATTGGGGATATAGACTGACCTGGGAGACCAGGACTGGCCGAGATGCTTAGGGACTGGGGAGAGCAGGAAGGGGGCGTGACAACGGCGACCCCTCATTGGCTGCCTGGTGACAATCCCTTGCGGGTGCTCCCTCCCCCAAAAGAAGAGCCGCAGGCCGTGCTTCTGGGTGTCTCACCATTTATTGTGGTCGCTAGGGACTCAACAGAGGACATTGTCTGTGGAAGGGGGGAAAAGAAAAAAAATGTTTTCGTAGACTTAATTTCTCCAGAACACTTTATGGTTTCAAATCCTTTTGTACCCCAAAGGAAATTCAGGAATTCAAGTATGTTGAGCCGGGAGCAGTAATACAAAAAGTGTTCGGCTTGTGCGCACGCGTGCGGTGGCCGTGTGTGTGTGTGTGTGTGTGTGTGTGTGTGTGTGTGTGTGTGTGTGTTCCTCCCCCGATTCTGGCACCTGTTTCGCTTTGGTAAGGCCAAACTCCATCAGGAACCCTGCCTTGGAGTCCCAGGCCAAGCAGCAGAGGCTTCCGGCTCACCCACGGCTTCCGGCTGCCAGGGACATCAAAAACCTCCTCCCTGTCCCCGCCAACACCGCTGGTCCCGGAGGCCCGTGGCCACAGGGCCCCTCACTTCCTACACAAGGCTTGCTTCAAGGACCAGGGGCGACAAAAGTCTCTTCATTTGTTCATCGTTTAAAAAAAGAGAAAAAAAAAATTCAAGGGGGACATTCCAAAAGAAAAAAAAAAAAAGAAATTCAAATTCTGAAAATATCTTGCCTTTTTTTTATTAATCGTTATCTAACACCAATTAAAAAAACGAATATGTGTATGTGATATATAAAAATACCATCCCAGGATGAGTGCTTCGTCGCAGGCACAGTTCTCGGACAGGTGCACGTGGTGGGCGGGACGGGGCTGGGGTGTTTTTTGCTTCTCTTAAAATAAGGGAAAAAAAGAAGACCCCAAAAAACAACAACAAAGAAATACACCCACCCCAGACTGACAGGGCCGGGTGGGTGGGGAAGCTAGCAGCAACGTGGCCAGGGTTCTTGAATCACAACCAAATCACCAGAGACGGGGTTCAAAGGAGAGAAGGGCGCCCCTGCGCCGCCTGCGCCTGGTGCGGTGGGGGCGCCGCCCTGCTCGCCTGTCCATCTGTCGCTTAAATATATGTACAGGAGCCGGTCGGCCGCCGCCCTTGGCCCCTTGGGCACCGGGTGCTCCGCGCGGGCTGCGGCTCGGGCCGCTTCCTCACTCGCCTCCGCTGTTCCCACGGGGGTGGGCGCGGGGCCACCTCAGTGGCCGCTGTTCTGCTTCTCCCGCATCCACGCTTGGATCTGCTCCTTCAGTTCTGGCACTGCGAGAGGGAAGGAGTGGGTCAACGCCCCCGCGAGAAAGGCCCACCCGACGCAAAGCTCCCGCTGCCCCGCCCGCCCCTCGCCCTGCCTGGCAACCACGCACGTAGGCAGGGGCAGGGTGCCTGGGTCTCTCCTACAAGGGCCACGGAGCCACAGGGCGTGGTGGTAAAGCCACCTGTGACACATCTGTTAACGTTACAGGGAAAGCAGTGGAGGATGGAGGCTCCAGTGCTCGGCCCCTGAACCCACGAGGGAGATCTGGCAGGAACTCCTGGCTTTGGCCTGGCGGGCTGTGGCCCCTGGGGAGTGAACCAGGAGATCAAAGCACTTGTTCCCTGTTATTCTGTTTCTCTGTTACTCTGCCTTTAAATAAATAAATCTAAAAAAAAGTGTCATACACTGGGTCGTCTTTTGATTGCTGCTTTCACAGATCTGTTGGGTCTTGCCCCATGCACACTCCACTGAAGCCAGCAGCGTGACCCCTCCACGTGGGACTGGGACCTGAGGACCACAGCCATGGGCTGCTGCCACCCCCGCGGTCCACAGCGGGAGGCTGGGCACCTCAGTGCAGCGAGGTAATGAGCCCAGGCTCCCTGCTGACCGCTGTCCTGGCACCTGTCCCTGGGCAGCCCCCGCCTGGCTGTGGCTGCCCTCCTCCCCAGCAGGTAGGACGCCAGTGCTCAGCTGCCCCCTCCCGCGCCCCTCTACCTGGCTCCAGCATGCTCTCTGTCAGCGGCTGCCGGTTGAAGGGGTCCGTGGGCGAGTTGAGCAGGTGCCGCAAGATGATGGAGCGGTCCATGATGGTGCCCGAGGGCAGCCGCACGGGGTCTGTCATCAGGGTGTCCATCAGAGGGTCTGCAGAGACAGCGGGTGGGTGTCACTTCACACAGCCAACAGCGGGGTGAGACACAGAACATACAGCTCCCACGCCAACAGCGAGGGGGTGGCCCCGGCCGGGCCCCAAGTTCAGGAGGAACCAGGCACACAACTATCATGTGCCTGCTACAGCGGGCCCATGGGATGGCACCCTGCCGTTGGCTGCTGCCGGGAGGAGGGACAAAGGCCACGGTCTCTGACCGAAGGACCCTGTGGGTCACTCTTGGCTGAGTTGTGCCTTCAAGTGCTTTCCCAGTCATTTAATTAAGAGCTAAACCCGGGTCAATGCCATCTCAGGTCAGTGGGTCTGAGAGCCGCTCTGGCACGCCTGGACCCCACAGGAAGCAATGGGTGGGCTCCACCAGATGTTTAAATCACAGAGCAGGGCGGGCAGGGGAGAGGGAGAAGGGGGCCTCGCCTCTGAATTCATCCGGGGCGTCGCTGTAGTCGATTTCTGCGCGTGCGTTCTTGGCCACTATTTCCTCCACTTTCTCGGCAAGGAGTTTAAACTTCTCGATGGCGATCGTGGACTTGATCCCTGCCTTGCGCATCTTGGAAATGACTTCTTCAAATAACTCTTTGCTGTAGGACCTCTGCCAAGGAAGAAAGGCCACGTGAGAGGAGACGTGGGAGACAGCCACAGGTGACAGATCTGTGGTCTCCCAGCCGCCCTGTGAAGTCTAAGCTGAGTCTGACCGTGTAATGCCACACACACGTTGAGTTTTTCTCCGTGTTTACAGCCCCTTGAGACTCCGCAGTCTCAACCCCAGACAAGTGGACAAAGACTGGGATAACTGGGATAACTGGGACCGCGCCCGGGGTGGGGGAAGGGAGCTTCTCAACTCTTGGTCTAGGCACATGTTTAAGCTGAACATGAGTTCATCTCAGCCCCGCTGGGCCCAGCGCACCTGCAGCCTGGGTGCAAAGACAGGGGAGACGGCTCAGCCTTTACAAAGGGATACATGTGGCCAAAACACAACCAACCTCCCCTCCAGGTTCCCTGGCTTGAGAGCTTGGTGGACTGTTCTGAGCTTTCGCCCTGTGGCAGCGGCACCTGCCTTTTCGATCCCAGCATTCACGTCAGCAGCAAGAGTAGAAATTCATGTCAATACTGTGTGGCTTTTAGGGCACTAGAGTGAAATTCCCTAATCTTCTAGTTAATTAACTAATTTAAAAATGTAGGAGGCCAGCCAGCATTGTAGCCTAACAGATTAAGGCGCGGCCTGCAGTGCTAGGACCCCAGGTTAGCCTCTCCACTTCCAATCCAGCTCCTGGCCTGGGAAAAGCAGTGGAAGATGTCCCAAGCCTTTGGGCTCTTGCGCCCGTGTGAGAGACCCCACGAAGCTCCTGGCTGCTGGCTTTGGCCTGGTCTCCGCCCCCTGTGGTCGTGGGAATTTGGGAAGTAAACCAGCAGACGGAAGAGCTCTCTGCTATCCCTTGCCCCCTTAACTCTTTCAAATAAATAAATTAAAAAAAAAATTTACTTATTTAAAAGTCAGAGTTACAAAGAGAGATCTTCCATGCACGCAGGGGCTCACTCGCTCCCCAGACGGCCTAAGTGGCCAGGCTGCAGGTAGGAGCTTCCGCAGGGTGCCGCCTTGTGCATAGTACCAGCCCAGCACTGCTTGTCTCAGCTCACAGCAGGAACTGGACTGGAAGTGGAGTAGCTGGGACTTGAACCAGTGCTCACGTGGGATGCGGGCATCAGAGGCGCAGCTTTCCTTCCTGTGCCACAGGCCACAACGCTGGCCCCCCAACATTTTTATCCTTACCTTCAGTTTGCAAGTAAATATGCACAGTTTCTCCACAGCCACAGGCCTCCCCGCAGGCACTCAACTGAGCGGGGAGGGAGGGGAGGGAAGGGACCCCTGGGGCTGTTCTTGGGGCAACCAAGGCAGTTTCTAAAGTTGCACTGCCACGTGATTCAAGACCAGGGACACCGTGGGGGAGCAGGGAGGCAGCCTGCAGGGGGCGCTGTGTCCCCACAGCCTTCCCGGGCTCGCCGAGCTGGGTGGGCTCCCTGAGCGCCCCAGAACAGCGCAGATTCTAGTCCTCAGGCAGTGAGCAGAGCGACCCGTCTCCCTGAACCTGCTCATAAGGGAACATCTAGGACACAGCAGGAGAGCGAATGCTGTCAGAATTCAAAGTTGTGTTTTTTTTTCCCTAAAACAAAACATTTTAAGAAAATATTACTTCAAAGAGATGAAGACATCTTGCTGCTCACAGCCCAGGTGCTCCTTCCGGCCAGGGTGGGCAGGAGGCCGCACCTGCTTCTGATGACGGCAGCTTCCCTGGGAGGCATGTGGGGAAGCTAACATCCGGGGCTCCCTGCCACCCCTGCATGTGCCCTGGACTTGGGCGCTGGCTCCTGGCTCGGGCCCATGCAACCCCGGCCATTACAGGCACTTGGGGGGAGGGCAGACTGGGGGTGGGACCTACCTGTTTCTCCACCTCTCAAAAACAATTACTCATAACTTCTGTTTTGACATTACTTCTTTGGGTGAAATATGAAAAAAGAATCTTCTAAAACACTTACTGCTGGGCGATGGGCAACCTGGGTGTGAGTCATGTTTAGGGAAGGAGTGGAAATAAACCTGGAGACAAAGAAGTGAGCAGAAGGCTTTCCAGTGAAGAACAGTGAGGAACAGGACGGCTGGAACTCAGGCTTGGGGCCCCGCTGGCCGCGTCCCTCCCAGCCAGCTCGGCACCCCGAGCAACACACCCACCCGCACTAATGGGACTCATTGACATCCCATTGTTTGGCTAAAGGACTTGGGGGAAAGAGTACAAAAGGAGCAATAGAGGGAGACTTGAGAGAGACTTCCCCATCACTGGTCTCCTGGCTGTGCGCATGCCGACCTCCTCCCTGTCTGTGTTACTGTCTCTGCTGGTCGGAGCAAACGGCATCTAATGTGGGCCACGGCACGAGGGGCAATCGGGGGACCTCTGGCCTACAAAGGTAAGTTTAGAACTAAAAACTTCGCAGGGGCATAAGTGATTTCATCCCCACACCTTCTCCCTGTCCTGGGGCACGAGGGACAATCGGAGGGACCCCGGAAATCTGGAGGTAAGCCTCGAATTAAAGATTTTGCAGGGGCAAGAACTCGTGAAAGTGCAGGTGATTAAGGCAATCTGAGATCTGCTAAGCTTAAGGCCTCGCCGAAGTTCCAGGAACTGAAGATCTTAAGTGTTATCTGCCTTCATGGCTTGGCCTGGGGCGACGTGACTCCAGGCCCGCAGGACACCTGGCAGGGGGAGTGGGCTGGGAGACCTAGGCTAACCTGAATAAACCACCTTTATGGGTTAGCACGGACTTCAGACTCCGATTTTCTTAGGAGCGAAAAATCTGGCACAACGTTTGGGGGTTTGTCTGGGACCCCCAGGTCATCAAGACTAAGGGCGTGTGTGGTGTCACCTAACTTTTCTTTGCCAGCAAATTAGCTTCTTTTTCCTTTTTCATTCTGATCTGTTGCCTTTTTCAGCTGAATTTTGGTTTTGCGCCCAGTATGGGGCAGGAAGCCTTGATGGGTTAAGCATTCGTGCCTGGTGAGTGTACTGGAAGGCCTCTCTCAGTCCGGCACCTTTTTGCTAAGGAGGGGTGGGCGTGTTCCGTCTGGATGATTTTCCTTCCAGTGGGCCTACGCTGTAGACTGTGTCTGTCCTGTCTTTAAACTGTTGCGTATTTCTGTGTCTGCCGGCTATAAGTTAAATGCTAGGATAATTAAATTAGCTGCAAAATCTTGAACTTTGTTAAGAGGGCCCCTTACCTGAATTAAATTGAAACTATGAGTGGTGTGCCTAAATTCTAATCTGAATACAGCGAGAGAAAGTTTCTCTAGATTAGTTTTCTGAGCAAGCAGAACGGCCGGAAGTCTCCGGAGGGTTTGGGAGTCAATAGCTGCATTACAGAGTCTGAGCGGACGCGGAATTCGGCTCTGTCCGCTGGGATCTCTAGGTGACTGGGGTCCCGGAGGTTGATGTCCCTGGGTCCAAGTGCCTAATCTGAGGGGTCAGGGACTGACTCCTCTCCCTAGTTCCAGGCTGGACCGACCCACTTGCCTGGGTTCTGAGTTCGATGGGTTTGAGGGTGACCTAACTGTTCCGAATTTGAGGGGGCTGTAAGTCGGTTGAGCCGGTCTCCGCTCCCTAGTGCCAGGTTAGAGAGAGACCCCCTTTTTGCCCGAGTTCTGAGAGGCTGATGGGTGGGTGCCCTTTGCACCTGAGTTCCGGGTTCAAGGGGCCGTGAGTGGAATAATACCAGTTTGCCTTGGATATGGGTCTCTGTCCTGTAGCCCTGTTCTCATTTTGGGCTTGAATCGAATGTGTGTGTGTGTGTGCGTGCGCGCGTGTGTGTGTGTGTGTGTGTGTGTCTGTGAAAACTCGCTCAGCTCCCAGGTGCAGCTAGGAGCGCCAGCTCTGCTCCCAGCCACTGATGCGTACAGTCAGCAGGACTGGCTGGAGCGAGCTCCCCACCCCTCCACTGGGAGAGGCTTGAGTTCGTTTCACTCTGTCTGGCCTGAGATTTTCCTCCCTTTGCCATCAAATCTGACCTACTTGTGAGCATGCTCAGTTCAATGTACACTGAACCGACTTATTTGGCTCTCTAAATTGTTCAAAACTCTGAACCAAGTCTCCCAACTTTGGGAATTCCATAGAATCCATGGAACTCTCAAAGATGGAGACAAAGGATAATTTAATCGCTTTTTGAAATAGTCTGGAGTATAATGTCACAATGTTATGAAATTATGCCAACTTGGTTGCTACATATGTTCTATTAAAGTGATGATATTTACATGGTTGCAGAGAATGTACATTGAGGTTTATTGATCAAAACATTTTTAATCACAGAATTGATTCAGGTTATCAGTTATCTGTGTTCTTATTTATGAAGAAGTATTGTTTGTGAGACTTTGCCTTACAGGAAGACAAGGAATTCTTAAAGGATATGTGGTAAAATCCAGAGTGTGTACATCTTCTAAGTGTTTGACCTTTAAAGCAACAGAATTGAAATTGAAGTGTTCCCTTGTCAGAAAACAAGCGTCTTAACATCCCCTTTTAAGTTATTTTCCTTTTGTTCATGACTAACCCTGCTAAGTAGGTTCAGTAAATTCTCAGGCAGCCTCCCAAGACGACAGCCGAGCTGAAATTCTCCCTGACTTGTCAGCCTGGAAAAGGGAGGGGCGTGCTTGGAGCCTGCCCTTTCGAGAATTTGGGACTCTGACTTTGTCCCTGCCATTGTGATTCTTAACTGCCTTCATTTGAGAAGGGAGAAGTTCCCAAATCGGCTGGAAGGAGGTAACCACTTCCAGTTCTGAAGCCAGCTTGTTTTAAAATGTTTCCATGCATTGGCTCTCTATGAAATATAATTCCAGATTGCCTAGAGCAGTTGTGTTTAAAATTTAACCTGCTTTTATTTAGAAAATGTCTTGGAGTTTTGAACGTTTGTTTCAGAATGTAGATCCAGAGAACTGGCAGATGAAGGATGGCTGCAGCCTGAGTTGGCCTGGTAAGCGTAAGAGACTTTGGTATAACATTGACCATCGTGGCCAGTACGTCGGCAGCCACCACCACCTGCTACCGCAGTGACCGTGAACAAGCTCTCAGAACAGACTGCCCGAGTTATGGAACATCAGACCTGGACAGATGAACACGTGCGGGTGGGCATAGCAGGTTGATTTGTTGGCAGCGGAGCAGCGGATGCTGTGGGATATGGTCAGGGCCTCTTGTTTCCCATCATATGCCTTTATGTGTGTGACACCTGTGCAAGTGCAAAATGTTTCTCAAGCCTGGGAACTGCTGTCTGCTCATTGCTACCGAGGTAAAGATACTCCTAGCCATGGAACAGGGTTACCAGCCTCCCCAAGTATGGTTTGTGCAGCTGCAGCAGGCAACGCGTTGAATGGCAGCCAGTGACGGGTAAGATGGACCGGGCACTGACCAACCTAAGGCAGGGGCTCCGTCATGCTCGGAGATTCCCGATGCCAGGTAAGGCTGATAACCTGAGAGTCCACAACCTAAGACAGGCGCATTCAAGTCTGCTTTAGAACAGGGGACCTGTTGCGGGCTAAGGAGTTTATTATCACTCATTAAGCCGAGCAGTAACAGGAAATAGGCTTGTGGCTAAAAGCACCTGGACTAGAGGGACTCACTGGCATCCTACTGTTGGGCTAAAGGACTTGGGGGAAAGAGTATACTGGCTCTGCTGGCTAGAGGAGGCGTGTGCAGAGGACGGCTCCAGTTACAGACCCGGGAGACCTGACGGCTTCTGGGCGCCTGGGCATTGGAAAAGTGAATCAGTGGGTGAAAGATACCTCTCTCAATTACTCAGCATTTCAAGTAGATGAATGATAAAATAATACCAATTAAAGAGGTCACCACAGGAGCCACCCATGGCAGCCCCACAGCAGGGCACCCGGGGATCTGGGCTCGCAGATGGCCAGGCTCCTCGGGCACGCGCTGGATTTGCGGATTAATGCCCTTGGCTGCATGGGTGAAGAATTCAGTGTGGGGGCCTGGCATGACAGCCTAGTGGCTGTTGTGGTCACCTGGGCCACAAACCAGATTGGAGGCCTACCTCTGTATTTCCATAATAAAAATGAAGACAATAATAACAGGGAGCCCGGGGCTCCCTCTGCTCTTGACTGTCGGAAGGAATTATCCGGGCCCTGCGCCATGGCCTAGTGGCTCAAGTTCTCACCTTAAACGCTCCAGCATCCCATGTGGGCGCCAGTTCTGATCCTGGCAGCTCCACTTCCCATCCAGCTCCCTGCTTGTGGCCTGGGAGGGCAGTCAAGGACGGCCCAAGGCTTTGGAACCCTGCACCCGTGTGGGAGACCTGGAGGAAGTTCCTGGCTCCTGGCTCCGGATCGGCACAGTACCGGCCGTTGCACTCATTTGGGGAGTGAATCATCGCATGGAAGATCTTCCTCTCTCTCTCTCCTCCTCTCTGTATATCTAACTTTGTAATAAAAAATAAATAAATCTTTAAAAAAAGAAGGAAGTGCCCGATCTGTGCCCTGCAAGCTCCTGGCACCTCTGGCCCCACTGCCAATGACAAAGCACAGGCACCAGCAGGTGGGGAAGCAGGCCTGGATGGAGACGCACTCGCACAGGGACCACAGGCAAAGCCACAGGGAGTGGTTCAGCTACCTGGAGCCCAGGCTTGCTCAGAAAGCGCCCATGACCCTGGCACCGACCTGGTCATCGGCAATGGCTTTAGCGAATCTGGCACAGTCCAGCTGCAGGTAAATGTCCGTGAGCTGGTCCAGCAGCTTCTTTGGTTCAAAGCCGTATTTCTCAGGGTTTTCGACTTTCAGATCACGACACTTGGGACCACAGAGTTGCTGAAGATTGAAGTTGAGCATTGCAGCCAATCGGGGTCCAAGTTCCTAGGAAATGATAGGACAATGGGACATGTGATGCTGCTGAAGCAGGTAGGAAGGACCCCAAACTCCCATCTCAGAGAAGGACAGTGGGGAAACGTGGCCTGTGTTTCCTGCAGCGCAAGCCGAGGAGGGCGGCAAGCAGTGTGGACAGACCCCTCTGCCTGCCCTGCTCGCCAGGCGTCCCTAGGTCACAGGCCGCTGCGTCTGTCAACAGCAGCAAAGGGCAAGCCTGCTGCTTTACAAGCAAACAGGACTCCAAATCCATTGAACAGTGAACAATTCTGCCATCATACACACACCAGCACGTGGGCTACTGCACCAGAGGTTCCAGGATTCCCGGCCAGTGCAAGCAGGGCCATCTCCTGTTTATGCTCAGGTAGGGGAAAAGACACGCAAACGAACAAGTCGGTGTTTAAATCTCCTCAGTGAGCCAAAGAAAACAGCTAAAATATCAGTCACAGAAGCCACTGTCACTGCAGAGGTGACACAGGCCTGCCCCATTCCCACTGCCTTATGCTCCCTGGACAGGAGCCTGGCTCAGAGCAGACTGGACTACACACGGACAAACGGCACTTTGTGAACTGCAATGGTTGGTTTAGACTAGGCTTTTCATGAACGTGTTTGGCTCAACTGCTAATCCTCCCCCTTCAAATGCTGGAATCCCATGTGGGCACCAGTTCATGTCCTGGCTGCTCCACTTCCCTTCCAGCTCCCTGCTTGTGGCCTGGGAAAGCAGCTGAGGACGGCCCAAAGCCTTGGGGCCCTGCACCCGCGTGGGAGAACCAGAGGAAGCTTCTGGCTCCTGATCGGCGCAGACTTGCAGTCACTTGGGGAGTGAATCATTGCATGGAAGATCTACCTCTCTGTCTCTCCTTCTCTTTGTATATATCTGCCTTTCCAATATAAATAAATCTTAAACAACCCCCCCCCCAAACAAACAATAAAAACCCACAAGTAAAGCACTCCCTCCTGCTGAGGCCCAGCTGGGCGACCAGCCACACACAGTGAGGTTTGAATGAGACAGTAGAGATGATATGAACAGGGCAGGCTCGGGAGCAAGGCTGGGCCCCCAGAGCAGAGCGGGGATGTGGTGGGCTCAGCAAGCCTTGAACAAGGTTTACTGCAATTGACAAGAACATGCTAGGTTCCCCATTGCTTTCTCAACAAAATGAAGAATTTAGAGCTGAAAACAGGCTTTTCAGTAATTTTGCTTTGATACGCCACTGTTCGCTATCTTCTAACAATCAAACACTGCAACTTGAGTCACTGACCACAAAATAAAGCCTTAGTAAGGGCTGCTGGAAATACAGCCAGCTCCAGCCATCGCTGCTCCAGTGAGTGAAGTTGAGCAGGCCCACGGCCGGGCGGGGCTGGGCAGCACCTGTAGCTCTTTCACTTTTCTGCAGACACTGTGCCTCTAGCCTGGCCTTCCTGCGAAGACCGCACACATGGTCCCCTTGCATCAGCCCGTAAGGGAGCCAGGGGTCTCAACAGTCACCTGATAGTGTGCCCCACTCTGGACCTCAAAACTGTTTCCCAAGGGACAATGGGACGAGAGCTGGAAGAGAAAGGAGAGGGGGCCCCTCGCTCAAGTGCCCCTCGACCACAGCAGGAAGGCGGAGAATCAGAGGAGACGCGGCCCATGCCTGACAGATACACGTCTCCGCGCGGGCCACAGCTGCGACCCCAGGCCCGGTCCTCACTGCCATGTGGTCACAACGTCAGCTATGCTGTTCAGCTTCCTTTTCAGAAACAGAACCGATGCCCCTATGTATGTCAAGGTTGAACCTGGGACAGCCCCTCACCTCCCAGGCACCCCGCTGTGGGTTCCCACAGACCTCGGCTTCCTGGGCCTAACGAACCAATTCTGAGACAGTCTCCCGTGGTATCTGTTCATTTCATGTCTTTCAATTTCTAATCAATCCCACCTTATACTTCTATAAATAAAATATGGGAAGGAAGCAATGCTGAGGAAGACATCCTAGACTCCACAGGAGCATCCCGTGCGCACGCGCAGGCTAAGCAGTAAGCCAGTGAAGCCACGTGGGGAGGGCTGTCCGCGACACGGCATAGCGACAGCGGACTGTGGCAGGTGTGTCAGACAGGTGGGCACAGGAGGGTGACGCGCTGACCAGCCTGGGTGCTACTCACAGGTCTGAGGAACGGCTTCTGGACCTGCTTGGTGAGGATGTGGAACATGTCCACCGTCTCCGTGGCCAGGGCAAGGTACGAGCGGGACACACGCTCATCCTGGGCCAGCTGGGACTGCCGTGCCTGCTGCTGGTCCTAGGGAACAGGGACAGGGCCAAGTGACTCTCTGCCGGCCACCAGCTCCACAAAGCACCACACAGGAAGAAATACCACAGGCCAAAGGCTTTTCAACCCACGTCTCAACTTCAGGTAAAATGCTACTTTCTCTCCATTCAAAACCTGGCAGCCCAAAGGCAAGAGAATCCTGCCAACTGGTCAGCCAGTGCAGTTCTGACGGCAGTAGCAACGGCTCCACCTCAGTCGGCCCCTCCCGGCCCCAGCCAGCCCCAGCCAGCCCCTGCCAGCCCCTGCCAGCCCCAGCCAGCCCCAGCCAGCCCCAGCCGGCCCCTGCCAGCCCCTGCTGGCCCCAGCCAGCCCCAGCCGGCCCCAGCCAGCCCCAGCCGGCCCCTGCCAGCCCCAGCCGGCCCCTGCCGGCCCCTGCCAGCCCCAGCCAGCCCCAGCCGGCCCCTGCAGGTCCCGACCAGCTCCAGCCGACCCCTGCCAGCCCCAGCCGGCCCCTGCCAGCCCCTGCGGGCCCTGCCAGCCCCTGCCAGCCCCAGCCGGCCCTGGTGTCTGCTCACCCGGGGCAGCTGGTCCCACTGCTCCTTGTTCTTCATCTCTTCCTGCACCTCGTGGATCCGCTTCAGAGACTCAAGGCTCTCATCGAGCAGAAACGTGGTGTCGTTGATCAGCATGTTGATGTAGCGGACAAACTGCTTCCCGGAACTACAGGGCCGAGGATGCGGCACGTGGTCAAGCACGGGGAAACTGCGGTCGTAGACCCCCGCCACCCAGCCTGCTCTCCCTGGCAGGGGTCAGGTGCAGTGGCATTCAAGGACTATCCCGTCTGCTGCATCGAGTGGCCTGCTGGAGCCGCCCTGCAGGGCCCCCTCAAGCCCACCACCAAGCACCCCGTATTTTGGGAGCAGCTTGTGCAGCAACAAAGGGGGAATCCAGTGGAGGGTGTGCCTGCCCGCCTCAATACATGCTTTCCGGTGTCCCCATCGCTCCCTGCATGCCCTAAACGGGGGGACACCACTGCAGGCCAGACGAGCAAACAGGCTGAGTCCACCCCTCCCCGAGCCCTGAGACCCCTGCACACAGCAAGCTCAGCCGAGTGGGAGGACTGCAGGTGAGAACTGAAAGCTCGGATCCTAGCGAAAGTGGGACACGAGCTGGGACCTGCTAGCATTCTGACATAGCCTGGACTAGGCCCGCTACAGCCTGTAACTCCCAGGTGGGTGCTGGTGAGGGAAGCTCAACTCCAGGACGTGTGTGTGTCTGTGTGTGTGAGAGAGAGAGAGACAGACAGACCAGGGTTGGAGCCCAGTTTGTACATCTGCACATGCGCACATGTGTCTATGTGTGTGTGAGAGACCAGAACCAACCAGGGCTTGAGCCCAGGACATGCATGAGTGAGAGCAGGGCTGAAGCCCACGCGTGGGCCGAACGAGCCGGGGAGCCTCCTTGAACACACAGGCTGCCTGGCCGGCCTCCCCGCAGTACCATGCAGATCACACTGTACAGCTGCTTCTTGGCCTCCTGATCAAACGCCAGGCTTGTGAGGGAACATGATCCCGGTCCCAAGAGCAGTTCATGGAGATAAAGAATTAACCTGAAGAGCTTACTGCCCTGGTAATATGATAAGAAACTTAACCACTAAGTGTCAGCCAGGTTGGATGCGAGCCCTAACACGATCTCCTAGGCCACACTGCAGTGTCCTCTCATCTCTCTTCCCCGAGGGGCCGTCCGACTCAGACAAAGCGTTGAGCACTCAGGGATCCACCATCACTGGGCTCTCAGGGGAAGTCCTTCCACGTGGCACAGGGTCTCCCGACAAAGCCAGACGCTGCCCTGACGGCCCTGTCACCGCTGCGCCCCAAGTGCAAGCTCTCCAAACAGTGTGAAGCTGAAAGCTGGATGACCCTGATCAAGAGGGCCGAGACCTCGGCCCGGTCACTTTGCCACGACACCCGACACTGTCCCAAGGGAAACACCAAAAGACACTCCTCACCGCGTCTCGGCTCATTTCCAGAGGCTGCGTTTATACCCTCCCCAAATATCCGGACAGAGCTAAACTTCAGAAACAGCCCAATCCTGCATCTACGCATGAGCTGGAGGGGAGGCTAGAAGAGGCCGAGGCCAAGCAGCAAGGAAGAGACCCTGCAGCGAAGGATGCCGGAGTGCGCTCCTGCTTGGGGCTTGCAAGAGCAGGCAGGGCGAGCAGGGGCCCAATACTCACTTGAATTCCTCCATAAAGGTGCCATGGTGAGCAATGTTTTGCCAGAGGCTTTTGAAAATGGTGCTAATGTGATAGCGTATCGTGAACTTGTCATAGAACTCGCTGGTGGCTCCGGTATGTTCCACATCTGAAGAGGAAACACAGCGGACTCAGGGATGACCCCAACAAGCACATCCACAGCGTGAGTGCAAATCTGGAAACTCAAAGACCTAAAAGTCTGCTTGGATGTCTCATCTAAAAGGCAGCAAAGGGGCCGCTGCAGGTTAATCCTCTGCTGGCAGTGCTGGCATCCCCCATGGGTGTCGGCTTGAGTCCCAGTCACTCCACTCCAAGTCCAGCTCCCTGCTTATGCCCTGGGAAAGCAGAGGGAGATGGTTCAAATCCTTGAGCTCTGCATCCTTGTGGGAGACTGAGAAGAAGCACCTAGCTCCTGGCTTTGCATGAGTCCAGCTCTGTCCACTGTGGCCATCTGGGGAGTGAACTAGCAGATCTCTCCTCTCTCTGTAAATCTTTCACATAAAAATAAATAAATCTGAAAAGGGGGGGGCAGAAAACAAATTCTGAGCTGATTTGAAAGAATGGTATTAGAGTGCAGATCTGGCAATGAAAATACCAAGAGGAATTAAGCTAGGGCTATCACTAAAATGGCGCCCACTTACCAATGATCAAAAACTGAATAATTTGATTTCCCTCAGTTTTTAAAAAATGATTCATCTACTTTTTATTGGAAAGTCAGATTTGCAGAGAAAGAAGGAGATATAAAGAGAAAGGTCTTCCATACACTGGTTCAGTCCCCAAGTGGCCACAACAGCCAGAACTGAGCCAATCTGAAACCAGGAGCCAGTAGCCTTGAGCCTCTTCTGGGTCTCCCACACAGGTGCAGAGTCTCAAGGCTTTGGGCCGTGTTCTACTGCTTTTCCAGGCCACAAGCAGGGAGCTGGATGGGAAGTGGAGCTGCCGGGACACGAACCAGCACCCATATGGGATTCTGGTGCTTGCAGGCAGAGGATAAGCCAGTTGAGCCCATTCCAGGCCTTTTCAAACATGCACTGAGGCACAGGGAAGCACAGGCTTCCCTACGGACATGTGGGTCCCTCACAATGATCAAAATTCCTCTCCTTGGAAATTGGACAAATGTCACAGGTGACTATCCAAATTATCACCAACCTACGCCCGACAAGTTCCAGAATGCACCAGAGTTTCAGAATGAAAGAAGCCCCACCCTGTGAAAACCACGAGGCTGCAGAAGTCAACTGTGATAAGTAACCGATTTCAGCTCTCCACTTCTACTGAAGTGACAATACTGGGCCCCACGCGGGGCTGGAGGGGATGGGCACGCCACACAGACGGCTGCAGGATGCTGAGAGCTCTCCCAGGAGAATGTGGCAAGCTGCAGCACAACGCCAGTAAGTCCCACCAGTTCTATGCAGAAGCAAGACCTACGTGTGCAAGAGCTGGGGCTGTGGGAGAGCAAGTTAAGCTTCCTTCCTAACTGGGATCCAGTTCAAATCCTAGCTGCTCTGCTTCTGGTCCAGTTCCCTGCTAATGCTCCTGGGAAAGCTGAGGAAGGAGGCCTGACTGCTTGGGCTCCTGCACCCCAAGGGAAACCAGGAAGATATTCCAGGCTCCTGGCTTCAGGCCTGGTAGAGCCCTAGCTGCTGCGGCCATTTGGGGAGTGAATCAGTGGATGCAAAACTTCTTCCTGTCTGTAACTCTGTCTTTCACATAAATAAATAGAATAAAATTCATAGATCTCAAAGGAGACAGACTTAGAAAAAAAAACCCGATTAACTGTTTATATAAAAGGAGAGAGGCAGAGATATCTTCCACACACAGGTTCAGGTTAGTGGAAACAGCTAGCCTGAGCCGGGAGCAGCAACAGGGGGCTGGACAGAAGGCAGAAGAGTAGGGATTTGAACCGGTGCCCCGACACGGGCTGCCGGAGCTGCAAGGAGCAGGATAAGCTGCTGCATAATGAAAGTCTCTATACTAAAGCACTGTTCTTATCACAGAAAATACAGAAATAACTGACGCTCAATAGACGGGAGGAATTCTGTACGCTACATTACACGAAAAACCACAGATTACCAAACAAAACGTCAAGATTAAGTCCAATCATATTAAAAAGAAAAAAAAAAAGAAAGAAAGAAAAAAGATTGGGGGCCCAGGGTAGTAGCCTAGTGGCTAAAGTCCTTGCCTTGTACGTGCCAGGATCCCATAGGGGTGCTGGTTCTAATCCCAGTAGCTCCGCTTCCCATCCAGCTCCCTGCTTGTGGCCTGGGAAAGCAGTTGAGGACGGCCCAAAGCCTTGGGACCCTGCACCTGCTTGGGAGACAGGAAGAAGCTCCTGGCTCCTGGCTTTCGGATTGGCTCGGCTTTGGCCATTGCAGCCACTTGGGGAGTGAACCAGCAGATGGAAGATCTTTCTCTATGTCTGTCCTTCTCTTTGTAAATCTGACTGTCCATAAAAATAAATAAGTCTTAAATTAAAAAAATTTAAAATAGATTGGGGAAACACAACCTTTTTTGTGATCAAGAAGAAATAGCTGATGGTGAGGAATGCAGCAATGGACCCCTGTCACCTGGGGCCCCAAGCACCTGCGCATTCATCAGGGTGACCCTGGGTATGAACAGGGTGGCGCTGCCGAGCTGTACAATAGGGATGCTAGCATGTGGAAGGCTCATCTCCCGCAGAGCCTGAGAGAGAGGTCCCGGGGCCCACGCCTCTGCGGCTGCCCAGGCTACCCCACAGGGTTCAGGGTCCAGCAGGCGCCAAGTGCCCACGCCTCTGCGGCTGCCCAGGCTACCCCACAGGGTTCAGGGTCCAGCAGGCGCCAAGTGCCCACGCCTCTGCGGCTGCCCAGGCTACCCCACGGGGTTCAGGGTCCAGCAGGCGCCAAGTGCCCACGCCTCTGCGGCTGCCCAGGCTACCCCGACGGGGTTCAGGGTCCAGCAGGCGCCAAGTGCTGACCGCTGCTGCACTCATCAATACTCCACTCTTCCAACGCTTTGCCTATCTGCTCTCAATCATCCCCCTTCCCCCTTAGATCACAGCAAAGTGTCGCTCCGGCAGCCTTGGGTAACCTGACCCCGCTGACACCTGTCTTCTTGCTGGCTCACTCCGCTGCCTGCCAGGCCCTCACGGCCCTCACGGCCCTCACACCTGCTCTGCCTGCATCCCTGGATCTCCCTGAGACCTTCCCTGCCTGCCCGTCCTCCCGTAGCCCCACGCCTTCACCCCACCCTGCCTCAAAGCTTCCTTATCTGTGCAGCTGGAAGGTGGGACCCATGAATGTCCTCACACTTGGGACTTCTCAAGTATTGGCTCCGGCAGTGACGCTTCTCCAGCGACGAATGCTGACTTTGCCAGTGGCGGCCAGCTCAGGGGAACAAGTCTCAATTACCCGTGTTCTTTCAGTTCATACAGCTGTTTCTCTAGGAATGGACTGTTATAATGCAAAATAAAAAGCCTAAGCGCATTCTGCGGCCCGTGAGGCGCCTGCCTCCTCTGCCGACTGTGCGGCTCTAATTCCTGCCCGAGCGTCAGCACGCTCAGGCATCAGGGCCCCGGGCAGCAGGTCTTCACAGGCGGTGCTGGGATGGGCACTGCTCCTCCAGGAGCATGTCTGCGAGCCCTCTGCAGGGCCCTCTTGTTGCCAGTGCCCAGTGCCCGCACAGAGGCGAGTGCAGTGGTCAGCTGCACCTGGGCTGAGGTCCAGCCCAAGAGGCGGCAGCTGCTGCTGACCTTCAGCAAGCTGCTTGACCTCTTCTAAGCCGTGGCTTCCCACTTGTAAAATGGAGATATTTATAGGCCCTTGCTTACCAAGCCGGTGAAGGGAAGGGAGGACAAGCCGGTGAGGGGCAGGGAAGGCTGGCTGCTGGGCAGCTGACAGCTATTTTTAGGACAGGTGGAATCTATCCAGGCCAGCAGGGGTCCAGGCTGGGGGGCACTCTGCTGGAACACCCCCAGCCAGCCACACAGGCCCAGCATGGACAAGAGGCCCGATGCCATGGCATACATGGGCACATCTGATCCTGAAGCCACAGAGAACAAAAGCATATTTAACTAAGTTTAATGTTGCTGTTGTGTTTACTGCTGACAACACCTGCTGACTATAGAGAAACAAAGATGTTCAGATAATTACAGGATAAAAACTGAGACACTATTCCATAATACTACCATTCAAAAATAACCAACCCATTGATAACGCCTGGTCTATGCCCTTTCCTAAACTTTAAAACCGTACATAAACCTCAACCATGAACATATTGTATTTCTTTTACTTTTCTACTCCACATTAAGGTAACGAACACACAAGCTTTCATGGATAAACCACGAATCATTTAGCATTTTTATCTTCAAAGGGAGAGCTCTTCCATCCACTGTCCTACTGTGAAAATGGTAACAGCAGCCAGCACTGAGCCAGGCTGCAGCCAGGAGCCTCGAATGCCAGCTAGGTCTCCCATCCAGTGGCAGCGTCCCAGGCCCTTGGACCATCTTGCACTGCTTTCCCATATGCATTAGCAGGCAGCTGGATCAGAAGTGGCGCTGTCAGGACTTGGATTAGCACCTAGAGGGGAGACCAGCTTCTCAGGGGGTGACATACTTGTTACGCTGCAACACCAATCCGAAATAGTGGAACTCTGAAAAGTTATTTATTTGAGAGGCAGGCAAGCAGGCAAAAGCCGAGAGCCAGGAACACAGCCCAAGGTCCTCATGTGGGTGGCATGGGTCTGACTGTTGGTCTGCACTGGCAGTATGCTGGAGTCAGAACCTGCAGCTGCAGAATCACGCCAGGAACCCAGGAGTGGCATGCCAGCATCTTAACCATTAGGCTAAACACACACTCTGGGATGTTCTTAACATTCACTGCTCAGTGACATCTTGGCAAATAAACAAACTCACATTTACAATCATTTCCATTAAACAACTACAGATTACGGCTACCTATCAGAGGGAGCGCTCACCTGCTCTGGGGTTCTGGCCTGGCACCACTCTGCCAGCAGCTGTTAGGTTCACTAACAGGGGGCGCTGCAGGACACAGGGACTTGGTCCTTCTGCTTGTTTTGACCATGACAGTTTTCCAGTCCAGCAGTTGGTCCCAATTTCAGCCTTGACTGGTGGCCTCAGAACCAGCACTCGAGCACCCAGCCAGCGCCCTGGCTTTTCCCCACCCTCATTTAGACAGCCAGGTTCTAACACCCCGACCTAGGGGATGGCTGAACGCCTGCATTTTCCCTTGTTGCTGTCTTCTAGACCTGTCTGACCAGCTGCTTCTATTAAATTCCACTAAGTGACTGATGGTTTCTCAACTGGATCCTGACTGAAAGGACAGTAAGTACTCCGAAGCTTCCAGCGTAGGCTGCCCCACTCCGCATTCGCAGGAGACTGTCACAGCACTAACTCTGCACACTGGAACTCAGCCAAGGAAGCAGCCTATGAGTTCGGTTTTACACGACCATATCAGCAGCAGGGATTTTCAGCTGAAAAACTTGGTACGTGAAAAGCGGCATCTCATTATGAGTCTAACAAAAGTTGAATTACTCTCCACTCCAGGCAGTCAGCCATGGGCAAGGCTCCTGACGGGGGCTGCCCTGTCCACGCCGCTGTGCCTGAGCCACCTGCGCTGCCGTCAGTGCCCGAGCATGCTGGGAGCCTTCTGCAGGCCTGTGCAAGGGTTCATGTTTGGGGAGACGGGAGCTCTTGGCGGATGCCACAGGGTCATAGTGACAAAGGGAAAGGCATGCGGCTTCTTGGAATGCTCAATAAGGAAGAGGGTGATGACAGTGCGGGCCCCAACGAGCAGGAGTGGACCTGAGGGTGCACAGGATCCCCACGCTGGCCAGCAGGGGCACGGCATGCTCTCGGCAGCCAAGGTCCCCTCGAAGAACACAGCGAGAACACACTACTGAATGGCAGACTCTTCTGTGCTTCCATCAGAGATCAGCACACAGACTTGCTTTTCTGAGAAATATGCAAGCCAGCAGGCAACATGCCACCTGACACCTTGCTGTTGGTCAGGCGGGTTAAGTGCCAGAGGCGAGTTGAAAGGGGAAATTAAAAATCAAACCTGGGGGTAGGGGAAAGCCTTGTGTGCAGCACATTAAGCTGCTCTCTCTCTGGTCCAGCTCCCTGCATCACATCCCAGCGCCAGGCCAGCTCTGCTGGCAGAGGGATGCAGAGTGGGGGTCCGGACAGGAAGCAGTGGATCCCGGGAACCTCGGACCTCTCCGCAGGCACGGGGGACTTACCGGTATAAAACTTCATCAGAGAAGGGACCAGCAGCTTGGTGGAGAGAGGATGGTTCTCAATCATCTCAAAAAACTTCTGGGTCCGTGGCTGCACCGAGGGGTTGGTCATGAACATGACCTCCACGAGCTTGGCCACCAGGTAGGGGTTCCGGATGTAGTTCTGGTTGCACAGCATCACGACGAGGAACATGACGATGTCCTGAGTGCAGGGCTCATAGAGCACCTGGGGAGAGTATCTGGGCGGGGCGAGAAACCAGGCTGAGACCGACGTGGGCCGCGCGGTGGGGATGCCGCACATGGGCACCCCAAGTCCCCTCCAGCCCGCTGGCCTTCTGGTCGCCACGCTGGGCAGCAGGTGCACTGGTGGCACCATGCTCGCTTCTTATGTTTACAGAACAAACCAAAAGTCTATGATCAAATCAGGTAAAACTCACAGCAAAAGGGATCTTCATGGTCATTAAGTCCTTCATTTTGGGGGGTTAGTTTTAAAAATTAAAACCAAACAAATGAAAAAAAAAGACCCTGTAGTCCTGACAAAAATAAGCATAAGCATAAAAAGAAAACATTCCATGCAGGTTTTCTTTCTGAATGACTGAGCTTGGAATGATGTAACTGAAGCCGCTGAAAGTGCAGGATGCTCCTGGCAGCACACCAGGCCTGGCTCCCAGCCACCTGCCAACCACTCACTATTCCGACTCCTTCCTGGGTCACCTGCGGGTGGAGGGTTCAAGTTGTACTTAAGAGGCAGTCTGCTGGTCTACTCTCTAGCTGCCCACAAAAGCTAAGACTGGGTTAGGACAAAATCTGCAGCCAGGGATGCCATTCAGGGCCCCCCCGGGGGTGGCAGGGACCCAGAGCCAGCAGCCTGAGCCAAGAGGCTGACCCAGGCACCCGGCCTAAGGCAAGGCGAGCGCGTGCCAGTCAGCCAGATGCCGGCTCCCTAATTCGGCCCTTTTCAAAGGCAGCTTTAATGACATCAAGAAAACCTGCTCGACTTAATTCTGGCTCTCTCTGGTTTTTAGAACTTTCACACCTTGTATTCTGTGACTGTGACTTTCACACACTATCCACCTGCCTCACCAGACACCACTGCTGCAGGAACCACTGCCAGCGGTGACTCCAGGAACCTGCATGTCTCTCGCTGATACTGGGAGTGTTAAAGTCTTCAAATCCTCGTTTGCTTTGTTCAATCCTTTAACATTCCTGGCATCAGTGATGGAATCAAATCATTGCTTTGTGGGCGCTCTTTAATCTCACAGTTGAGAGAGATCTTGGTACCAAAGCCAAGTGTGAGTGTTCCTGACATCCAGGCATCCCCAGGTCCCATTTCTAAGCTGTCTGCTCCTGCTGTGCCGAAACCCAGCCTCAGCCATGGGGAAGCCTCCACCCAGTGGCCCCAGACCATGTCATTATCGGAGTGTTCATCCTGCTCCTGTCTTGACTAGGACTGGGACTGGGCCAGTGTACATGGGGACCCACTCCTCTAGCATTCAATTACGACAACTGGGTCATAAAGCTCCAGGCACAAAACAAAGGCTTATAATACAGGGCACAGGACCACGACAGGTCATGTACAACAATCATGTTAGAACCACAATTAGATCAAAGGCACTTACTGTACAATAAAAAATAAAAATTCAGCAACATCTTCTACATAAAACTCGGGCAATGCTGCAAAGACCTTGGGGACATCTGGATTTAAAGGCAGTGTGATGCTGTCAGGGAGGGAAAAAGAACAGTTATAAACGACTCACAGCTTGGCACACCATACAATTAAACAAGTGTTCTATTTGGGAAAAACAATGTAATACAACTTGAGAAAAATATGTTGGCAAAAGGAATGTGCAGAAACTAACAGACTAACAGAAGCAATGGATATGTTGGTGCATGTTCAAAGTGCTTTTCCATTGCTTGGTTTCTTGTTAACAATTAATCAAATCAACCTGTGACAAGCTGCACATACGTTTTCAAGAGACTTTTCCATTCTTGGCCAATCATAGCTACACTGGTAACTCCAAGGTTTCATAATACTAAGAATGACTGCCTGGAGGGGACAAATGATGGCCAAGGTCCTCAGCTCACTTTGACCTAGCTGGACACTTCCCTGGACGCAGCGCATCTTGGGCCTGGCACCCTGGACATAGCGCACCCTGGGCCTGGCATCCAGGATGCAGTATATCCTAGAACTGGCACCCTGGACGCAGCGCACCCTGGACCTGGCATGCTGGACACAATGCACCCTGGGCCTGGCACCTTAGAAGCAGCGCACCCTGGGCCTGGCACCCTGAACACAGCGCACCCTGGGCCTGGCAATCTGTTATCCCTACCACCGTAGCTTCCCATTTCTGGATCTCCTTTCCCATGACAGAGTTCATGGCAAATTAAAAGAAGATCCTTTGGTGAAACGAAAAGCAAGGTAAACCCATTTCACACTACACAGAAATACAGGACAGAAACAGGGAGGCGGGGCCTGGCTTCAGCTCCCTGCTCGGAAGGGAAGGAAGGGCGCGCACTCACTCGGGGTACGCGGGGTCCAGGACGCGGAGCAGCAGCTGGATGAGAAGGCCGTAGAAGTTCAGACATCGTCTCAGGAAGCTCTCATCCAGCAAACCGGCGTCAGCACAGGCCTTGCAGCGCACCAGTTTCTGTGGAAGTAGGATTGTAGTTACTGATGAGTTGGGGGTGGGGTTTCAAGAGACAGGGCAGGGAAAGGGGCCAGGCCGTGGCAGGGCCGGGTTCTGGAGCACCAAGGGGCTTGCTCATCTCAGAGTAGCCCTGGGACAGCTGGGGAGGCCTGGGGCCAGTGTTCCACATCAGAAACCTAACTGGCAGGAGGGGATGCAGCAGAGCCCCAGCGGCGTGGCGGCAGCTGGTGGGAGCAGGGGGCCAGGCCACTCTGTGGGAACCCCAGCAGCACCACTGACAAGCTGCCCTCGGGCCAGGGGTTACCCTGGCATGTCAGGGGCTGCAGTGAAGGCTGACACACACACACGTGTGCACATACTGACATGCAAGCATCATCCGTTACAAACCCCAGGTAAGAGCCCCTGGTAGAAGTCTTAACCTACACCCGGAACCCAAGTCGGGTACCAGTGCCCTGAATCATCCCGCTGGTCAACACAAAGCTTGCCCACTTCACACTCAGTTTCAAATTTGAAACTTCAACATAAGAACAAGCCTAAGTGTGCTCTCTGTTAAGCAGGAATATTTCCACCGACAGATGGGTTTATATGGCAGCTGGTTTTCAGGCAAAGGGAGAGCAGTCCACAGCTCATACCCAGGGCTGCCTCTGTGTGTGTGTGGCTGGGACTGGGATGTGGGGACAGTTTTGCCTAAAATAAGGCAAAGGGGGCAACACTGAACTAAGATAAAACTCACTACAATTCCACGTTGAACTGCAGTGGTGGATGCGCATTCTGTCCCATAATTTAAATAGTTTTACACAGATGCACGCGAGGTTTAAAATGCATTAATGTTTCTTGGGAACAGCAGTGGAGAGACCCATCACTGCACCTCCCCGAAGAGCACAGCGCCTGCGGCAGCCACACAGACCTTGAGCTGGGTCTTACAGCGCTTCAGCATCTCACGGTGTCTGGTTGCAAGCGGTGAGTCCTTCCACTGGCTCTCGTTGTTTTTCAAATCCTCCACAGTCCTGAAACGGAAGCCCAGCAGTCAGAGCGCAGCCCGAGCAACCTGTCCACCTGCGCGCTCTGCACATCCTGCAGGCTCGCAGATGCAACTGCCCGTTCCCCCTATTCTAGCATCCGTAAGCTCGGAGCCACCTCAGCAGCAGGCTCTGACTGATCACAGCGCTTTCCTTTCCTGCAGGCTCCTCAATTCAGATTTCAGGAAGCACAAACCTCTTTCTGCAAGGAAATTACAAAGATTCCTCATTCCTGAGAGCAGAAAAGACTCCTGCCAGCTCAGGGTGGCCGACTCCACGGCCCACAGCAAAGGTGGCCCTGCTCATGGCGTCTGCCTCTCTGCCGGTGCAGTTTCCTCTCCCTCAGCCCATCTTTGCATCTTGCCCTGCCCTTCCTGCAGAGGCACGCACAAGCACCACCTGTCGGCAAGGCCCTCTGTCCACTGCTGGGCCTGACCCACAGTCCCCGCCGCATTATCGCAGCTGCTTACTGCTGCGACACTAGGCACCACACAAGGACGATGCCACATCCCTAAAACTGTGCTTCCCACATGCCCTTGACCATGGCACCTCTGCCATGCTGAGATTCTACAAGACATGGAAGTAAAAACTTTGGCATGGAAGTCTGGGGTGTGGCCGAGGCAGAGAGCTCTGGGTGGGCTCAAGCCTGAAGCAGCCTCTCTCACAGCACGGCTCACAGCCCATGCGGCTCTCTTCAGCTAGCCTAAGGATTTATTAAGTCAAACAGTACCTCAGAATTAAGTCCCTCTATAAAGATCTATGTATTTGACAAAGACAGGAAAAAAGTCTTCAACCTGCTGGTTTAAAAGGCAGAATGACAGAGAGACAAAGACAGGCAAAGGGAGACTGTCCATCCACTGGGTCATCTCCAGAATGCCCACAATGCACAGGGCTGGGCCAGGCCAAACCAGGGAGCCCAGAGCTCAGTCTGGCTCTTCCGCAGGGGTACCTGTGCATCCACAGGAGCCTAGAACTGGAAATGGAGTAGCTGGGACTCAAATAAGCCATGTCTACACAGAATGCAGGGGTTCCAGGTGGCAACTGACGGGTGAGTTAAACATCCCTTCCAAGGGCCAGTACCAAGGGCTGTACGCCTGTGGTACAGCGGCTAATGCGAGCAACCAGTTTGAGTACCAGCTGCTCCACTTCCCATCCCGCTCCCTGCTGTTAGAGTGTCAGTATGACGTTAGAGTGTTAGAATAGTAGAACACTAGGCCAGGCTGTCAGGCCCCTTGGTACAAGAAGCCACTGCTTTGCTTAGTTAGGATAAGCCAGGGCCATTGGGAGATGCCACCCTAGTCAGGATGAGTCAGGGCCACTGACCAGTGCCACGAGCCCGATCTACAGAATCTACCTGGGTGGTAGGGCAGTTGTCCACTTCCAGGAAACAGGATGAGCTATTGATACCCAGATCCCATGGCCACGGTGTGTTTAAAGTGTGTTACTTTGATGGGAGAAGGTGTTACTCTTTAAATTGATTTGCTGTGTTTGGTGTGCATGGGCTATGATGTGTGTAATGCCTAAGAGAGGCCTATATAATCAGAAGCCTTTCTCTGGTTCAGGGTCCGACCCCCCCCCCCGGCTGGCCTGCGTGCCCCAAGAATGGTCTGACCCTAGCATGCTGGCACAATAAATTCTGCTTGCTTTTGCATTACCAGTGAAACTCTTTGTTGTTTCTGGGGGGCAGACAAAACCGGACCCTAACACTGCTTGTGGCCTGGGAAAGCAGCAGAGGACGGCCCAGAGCCTTGGGACCCTGCACCCGCCTAGGAGACACTGCTGAAGATCTGCTTCCTGGCTCTGGACTAGCCTGGCTCGGCCACTGTGGTCACTGGGAGAGAGAAGTGGATGGAGATCTCTCTCTTACCTCTCTCTCTGTAACTCTACCTTTCAAATAAAAATAAATATATTTAAAAAAAACTACTTCAAACAACAGTTCTAAGTAATGCAAAGGCCAAATAAGAATAAATAAAAGTTAAGAAAATTCTGGAACTGAACTAAGTCCAAGTAGCCCTATGTTGGTTAAGCAGAACAGAATTCATAATCCTAGCCCTTTGCAGGGTCAGACCTTTTAAGGAAGCCTCGAGCCCACGCTGTTACTGCTGACCCCACGAGGCAGTGGCGGGCTCAGGGAGGGGGTCCCTGCCGCACGTGGGAGACCTGGGGTGAGTTCTGGGCTCTGACATTCGGGCCATGACTCAGCACCTGTCTGCCTCCAAAACAAACTAAAGCCAAAACGGACTTCCCCCCAGAAAGCTCAAAGCCCTGAGAGCCTTGGCACTGGCTACTACCACTTGAGAAATAACATAACTCTTTTACAGCAAATGAGATAATCAACCTCTACACAAAAACCTGAGCAGCTTAACAAGAAAGGAAAATTACAGGTCAATTTTGCTTGGAACAGATCAAAAAACCCTAACCAGAGTATCAGCAAATTCAATGACATATATAAATAATAATAAAAGTTTGAGTTATTCCAGGAGTGAAAAGTTGGTTTAATCTTAGAAACACAACTGATGTAATTCAACTTCATTCATGGAATAAAACAAAAACACGCAATCTTCCTTAGCAGCTATAGAAAACCACAGCTCTCGTTAAGCACGACAAACCTGCAGCAAGCTAGAAATGAGACACACGGCATACCACCTAAAGTGTTCTCTCCTTTACTGAAAAAGGACATTGTGCGAGAAATACCTGTGTGTACAAGCACGAGGGAAAAGCCCTTGAGACAAAAGAAACTGCTTGCCACCGATAAGACTATACAGAAATGAGAATCCGAGGGGGGTTCCGTGGCGTGGCCTCTAACTGATGAGTGCTGTTAGCAAGGTGCATGGAGTTGGAGGCAGGCGTGGGCACGGGCTTCTCGGAGGGACTGCATCAAAAGGTGATGCAGCATCCATATTAGGATTATTCTAGATAACTCATTCAAGATCTTCTTGCTTCCTTGTTTCTGTCTGTGCTGGTGCATGGGAGAGAGCTGGGAGGACAAACAGCACAGCCAACAAGAGCCAATGCTTCCTGGCGGGGACAGAACCTGTGGCCACCATGTCACAGCCCAGGGAGAGAGTGAGCGGCTGTGTGCAGGCCTCCCCAGGAGCCCACGTCCAGGGAAAAAGTGGTGGAGACCACAGATGTCGCGAACAGCAGGGCTAGCATGGCTCAGGGCTAGCACGAAGGCTGGTTCACGGCACCAGGCAAAGGACTCCACACAACCAAGGAACACGGTGCTAGCCCACGGTCACGCCTGCTGCTCACAGTGCAGTGGGCAGTGCAGGAGAACGCATGGGGCCACGGGCCACGGCCCCAGCACACGGCCCCACGGCACGCACCTGTTGAGCTCCCGGATGGCCCGGAGTCTGCGGATGTAGCGCCGGCAGCTGGGCAGAATGGAGAGGTGGTGGGCGTGCAGGGTGAGGAAGAAGCATTCCGTGGGGAATTTCGGCTCAGAGAACGGAGACTGATCTCCATCTGGAAAAGTCACATCATTTCCTGAGTAAAGGCCGTCACACGTCTAAAACCGGCAGGAAGCTCTTGTGCACAGAGACAACGAGGCTTACACTCAGGAGGTCTGGGGACATTGCCGAGAAGGACAAAATCAAGTGAAGTCAAGGGCAGAGGTCACTGAACACCCGGCACCCATGGGATCACCTGTTACCCAGCTGGCCACCATGTGTGCTGTGTCTTCCTGATGTATTTTATAAAACCATTCACAATCATCATGTAAATCTTAAAATGGCATTAGATTATACAAAACGGCGCGGATTCCACAGCCATTTCTCTACATGGTTGCTTCTGATTTTAGTTTTACTAGTACTGTGGGGGAGGACTGAGACATATAAAACTCCCTTTATTTTCAAGCTTTGGGAATAAACTCTGAAAATGCTGAACTACTGACAGTAACGTTACTGTCCCTTTCACTGTATTTGTAAAATGCTCCCAATGGCTGTATGTATTAACGGGGTACAGTGTGGTATCCCCATTATACAAGGCATAATAGCCAGAGTAGGGAAACTGGCATAGCTACCATCTTACACAGTGACCACTTCTTGGCAACATTCAGAATCCTTGTCCGTGAGCTACTCTAAGATACACAGCGCACGTGAAGACTGCTATCCCACAGCTCAGCATCGAGGACGTCACTCCTCCCCGCCACCCGCCCCTAGCGTGAGAGTCCGTTACGACTCCAGGATCTGCTCGACTGGGTGTCAATGCCCTCTGTGGGGCGAGGCTGGTTACGGGTGTGTAACGGTATCCGAGTCTGACAAGTCCCCCCTCCTCCGGCAGGTCTGATTTTCAGCGACACATGCAACTGTCTTTTTTTCCCCCTGAGTAAAAGAAAACAATCCTTGGGTAGAATTTAGTTTTGTCCTTACGTGTTTACAACAGTTGCTCTTACATAGAATGCTCTTAATCAGTTTTCTGTTTTATATGTTCATTTTGCCTCGCTCGTTATGAAACACACTTCTTATCTCTGATGAGATGCTTTATAAACCGAAATGTCTGCTTCACACAGCTAGGTCAAACCACCTGTTCGATTTTCTAGCTTTTTAAACGGATTTTAAAAAAATAAAGTAGCATCCAATCCTTCGACTCTTGTGCAACTGCTTAGATGATGGGGGGTGGGGGGATTCTGAGATTTGACCCATCACCACGTGTGTTATATTTCTCTTACTTTCTCAGAACAATGGATTTGCTTTCATTTGTTTAATCTATCTATTGTGGCTAATTCCAAAGAAGAAGCTTTTTTAGTGTGTTTATGTTTCCACTGTGTCTCCGTTTACACATTTACATTAGCAAGAGGGGAGACTCTCGGGCTGGGCGGAGCTCGGGCGGCACTCACAGAGCTCGGCCCGCCAGCTGTTCAAGTCCTGCACCGAGGCGTTCACGCGCGTCTCATCGCTGGGCACAGAGATCCGGCATCTCGGGTGGAAGATATATGTTGGATCAACGGTTTCCAACTTGATTTTCGTACTTAGCTGCTGCAGTACCCACAGGAAATTCAACATAAATCCATCTGTTGACACTAATCTATCATCTGTCTGTGAAATAAAACAAACAAAGAATTAAAAAAAAACACATGGAATAGAAACTTTGCTCAATAGCCCATGAAAGCAGAATCAGCACATGCTATCGCTGGAAGGTCACCACGGTGGCAGGTGACCGCGCAGCACAGTCACGGGTGGACCTCCTCCACAGAGCCAGGGGCCAGCAATGCTCGCCTTCATATATGGACCTCCTCCACAGAGCCTGTCACAGGACCTGGGACTTGCCTGAGACCCAGCCTTCTGGCTTCCTTCCATAGTCCCCTCAAAAGCACGAAAGCCATTGGCCCCACCTGTCAGCATGTGACAGATTCCCTTCCAACAGCAGCAACCCAGTCCTGCGTGGGCGACAACAGGACAAGGTGATGGCTACACTGGGCGAGCTTTAGTATCAAACACATCCACTGGCAGTTAGGGGCTGCTGTCCCCTCATCAGGGACGCCAAGGTCTGCAGAGGCAAGTGGCTGCGTTCCTGCCACGGTGAAGGCCAGAGCTGAGGTCGGCTCTCGAGGCCCAGGCTCGTCGCCACCATGCTTCTGCACTTTGGAACACAAGTGCTGGACCCATCCCCCGTAACTCACTGAGTCTGGGACATTTCTACCAGGAAGGACCAGCTGGGTCACGCCCCTGTAACTGGTTGCCCTGTGTTTGCCCCCGGCCCCTTCCTCCCACACAACAGCTTTAGCAGAGGCCCACTCAGAAGGCACCTGGGCCACCCACTCGCCATCTCCCACCTTTTTTCAGTTCACCATCCTCCAGCCACACCCAAACGCCTGCACATGGGGCTCATTTCCACCTGTCACCTCAAGAGGGCGTCTGGGAGGCACCGTGCAGGGCTGGCTCTTTTACAGCAGGGCTCTGACCATAGAGGCCTTTGGACACAGCCACCATCACCGCACTCCTGCCACCTGCTACCTCCATGGCTCCTTCCAAAGCCACGCATTTGCACTAAGTTCACACTTATAGACAGAGCTCAGGGAGGCTTGCCTGAGTACCATGGTGGCCGCCAGCGCTGCTGGCAGGAACCCGGGCACTTCGTACCTGCATCTGCGCTTTCTTCATATTGGCGTTGACAATGGCGGCCATGTAACTCAGGGCAGCTTCACGGGTTTCGCCATTTAACAAAATACTGTGCAGGATCTTGAAGAGCTCTTGCTGCAATTCATTTTTAAAAAGAACATTAACATTTCATTTTAAAGATAATTTTTTTTTTTTTTTACTTCAAGAATGCTTGGCTGCGCTGTGCTTTACATGACGCTTGTGAAAATGGCACCCTACATCAGGACGTTGGTTCAGTCCCTGGTCACTGCACTTCCAAGCCAGCTCCTTGTCAACGTGCCTGGGAAAGCACCAGCTGAGGCCCGTGCTGGGGCCCTGGCATCCATGGGCGAGACCAGGGTGCAGTTATGCGGTACTGGCTTTGGCCTGGCCCTGACTGAGCTGAGAAGTAAGCAGGTGGACGGAAGATCTCTTTCTTTCTATCTCTCTCCTTCTCTGTCAGTCTGTCTTTAAAATTTTCTTTTAAAAGGAACAGAATGGCATGTGGTACTATAGGTTAAGAATAGCTGTCTGGCTATATGGAAAAGCGGGATGGTCCAAGGCCAAAGGCCCTGTGCACATGGGGGAGGCCAAGAGCAGGCTTCTGGCTCCTGGTTTCCAACCGGCAGCTCTGGTCATTGTAACCATTTGGGGAGTGAACCACAGAATGGAAAATCCCTTGCTGTCTCCACCCCTCCATTATGTAACTCTGACTCTCAAATAAAAAGAAATAAATCTTTATAAAAGCAATAGCCCGGGCCCGGCGTGGTGGCGCAGTGGTTAAGGTCCTCGCCTTGCATGCCCGGGATCCCATATGGCCGCCGGTTCTATCCTGGCAGCCCCGCTTCCCTTCCAGCTCCCTGCCTGTGGTCCGGGAAAGCAGTCGAGGACGGCCCAAAGTCTTGGGACCCTGCACCTGCGTGGGAGACCCGGAAGAGGCTCCTGGCTTCGGATTGGCATAGTATCGGCCATTGCGCTCACTTGGGGAGTGAATCATCGGACGGAAGATCTTCCTCTCTGTCTCTCCTCTCTGTATATCCGCCGTTCCAATAAAAAAAAAAAAAAAAAAAAAAAGCAATAGCCCTACTGGCTGAAGTCCTTGCGTTTCATGTGCTGGGATCCCATGTGGGCGCAGGTTTATGTCCCAGCTGTTCTACTTCCCACCCAACTCTCTGCTTGTGGCCTGGGAAAGCAGTCAAAGATGGCCCAAAGCATTGGGACCCTGCACCCTCGTGGTGTGGGAGACCTGGAGGAAGCTCCAGGCTCCTGGCTTTGACTAGGTTCAACTCCGGCTGCTGCAGCCACTTAGCAAGTGAGTCAGTGGATGAAGATCTTTCTGTCTCTCCTCTCTTTTGGAAAGGCAGATATACAGAGAGGAGAGACAGAGAAGAAGATCCTCTGTCTGATGATTCACTTCCCAAGTGAGCGCAACAGCGAATGCTATGCCAATCCGAAGCCAGGAGCCTCTTCCGGGTCTCCCACGCAGGTGCAGGGTCCCAAGACTTTGGGCCGTCCTCGACTGCTTTCCCGGACCACAGGCAGGGAGCTGGATGGGAAGTGGAGCAGCTGGGATTAGAACCGGCACCAATATGGGATCCCGGGCATGCAAGGCAAAGACCTTAACCACTGCGCCACCGCGCCGGGCCCAAAAATAAATAAATCTTAAAAAAAAATGTAGCTGGCTAGGATGAGTGTTCTAATGCAGCTTAGATGCCTGCACCCTATATTGGAGCGTTCGTTTCAATCCTGACTAGTCCGCTTGGCTCCAGCTCCCTGCTAAGGCACATGGGCAAGCAGCAAACGCTGAGCTCCTGCCAGCTGCAGGCAAACACCTGGCATCGTTTTAGCTCACCAGCTGGGTGGGCATCTGAGGAGTAAACCACTAAATGAAACTGCCTGCCTTTCAAATAATGAAATAAATCTTATAGAAAAGAAACAACTGGCCTACTTGACTCTGTCCTCTCCCTTCTCACTCCGCAGGACGGCCTGACCACAGGAGGAACGCAGAAAGTGCCCGTGTCCAACTGTGTCCGGCTTTGGGAGTGGACAAATCATTCTGGCCTTAACAAATATAGCTGAAAGGCAAATGGAGAGGGTAGGAAGGTAGAAAGAGAGTGAGAGAGACAGAGAGAGAGAGAGAGAGAGAGAGAGACCTAAACTATCTTCCTCTGCTCACGTACTTCCCAATGGCTGTGACAGCCAGGTGTGGGCCAGGCCAAAACCAGGAGCCAGGAGCTCTGCATGCCCGCTGCGGTGCACAGGCCAGCAGGCACTGCTCTCCAGGCACGCTAGCCGAGCAGCCAGGAGATGCACTGGTGCTCTGATGTGAGGCGCTGACACCTAAGAGGCCTACCCAGCTGCAATGCAACCGACATCAACTTACCTTTCAGTTCCGTTTCCCCACAAACTTTCAAAAATGAGTTATTTGCCCCAGAATTCCACCTGGGTCTCCTACACAGTGGCAGGGGCCCGAGAACACAACTCCTCGTTTGTTGTCTCCCAGATGCATGAGCAGGAGGCAAGATGGAAAGTGGAACAGCACCAGAACTCGAACTGCAGCAGGCCTCCTGGTGCCAAAGCCTCCTTCCCCCAACTTCGCGAGCGGCCCTCCCAGGTCCCTTGTCCTTCTCTAAGGAAGGCTGTCATAACGGGGGACCCGTGCACTGGGCTGCGCTTCATCGGCAGAGCCCAAGGCCCGCCCTCCCTCGCTCTGCAGCAAGCTCCCTGGGGGATCGCTCGGCACCTACCCTTCCCAGCTCCAGGTAATGCTGCAGGGATTGGCTAACGACGCGAGTGTTCTCCAGGGTAATGGCAGGCCCTGAGAAATACTTTTCGACCACTTTAACCTGGAAAGAGATGGGAAACCATTCAATCCACGGCCGGGATGTTGGAGGAGGGATCTGAAGCCCAGGCACGTGCCAGCTCCCCCTACTCACATCGTCCTCTGCGAAGACGGAGAAGCTGAAGAAGGCCCCCAGGTAGGACAGCCTCTGCAGCTCCCGCCCAGCACCAGGGCTCAGGGGCTTTGGCAGCCACAACGGCAAGGAGGCGACCTGGGCAACACGTGCGAGAGAGAAGTGGAGCCGCTGAGTGGGCAGCACGGGGGCCAACACGGGAAGAGAGCTCCCAGCAGCCCCGAGCTCACACGGGACATCCCCACCTGCAGGGCATGGGGGCAGCATCACGCAGGCAGAGGGCACCCTCTAACCCCACCAGGCTTTCACAGATCATCTCTGAATGTCTATGCTTCCGGAAATAGTGGTGGAGTCTAAACAAACTGCTCTTACAGGACCGACAGCCACATTCCCCAAAGCACGTGCTACACAATTCTCATTTCCACTCCGCCCCCCAAATGACAGAAGAAGCCAACAGCTTCCTCCCAGGAAACGCTCCGTGCCCGGAGAATGCAGTCTGGTGGCTGAGAGCCCCGGGAATGCTGCCTGCCCCTCTCCATCGCAGGGCCTTCAGGAGCAGCTTTCTGGCTCATGCTGGGAAGGAGCCTTTGAGCCACGACATGATTATGAAGCAAGCGCATGGTGCAGGAGCTTACCAGACTGCACACAGGGTGTGTCTTCCCAAACTTGGTTTCACAGAGTTCACCTAATGCCTGCAAGTGAGAACAAAAGGACAATGTCATGCATTTCGTCCCAGCCCAGGAGCCATACGTCTGTCAGGGAGCAGCTTCACTCTGGTCCCCGACTCCCACACCACACTCTGCAAACACACTGACCGTGCAACTGAACCTGCGTCCCTCACACCCGGCCCTCACAGCTCGGCAGGCTTGCTTCCTAACCTCAGGACGGCCATGCCGACCCGTGACAGACGTGATATCAATACCTAGAAGTCGAGCAGCCATCGCATCCACAGCACACGCTGCGGCAGGTCTACGTGCTGTTGAATGAGCAGGTGCAGCTCCTGGGATCCAGGTGGTGCAGGCGCAGCTGCCAAAGCTGCCAGAGGAGCATGCTTCTGAATTGAGGCTCTACCCTGTCCCAAGAAGCCCCAGCCAGCCTCACAGCCACACCCCACGCCTTGGAGACCGAGCACACGGGCGAGGTCAGCAACCTGGCGCTGGCCCTCAGGCGAGGCCCCTGCTGCACCTGGCATGACTGACAACGGTCCAGGCACTTCCGCCCCATGGCTTCCGGTTCCTGCCTCTGACGGCTGCACCTGCTCTCACGGTACAATCTTGACCATATGAGCACGGATAATGGTCCAAAATAAAACGACTGCCTGCCACGGTGGAAGGCACTTTTGTCTTTTGCCCTGGCAGGACATCTTGCTAACAGCTGGCACTAGGAGTTCCTCGCTGGAACACTGGGCTAACTGAAGCCACAAGGGAAAAGAGACAACCACAGGAGTGACACTGAGGCAGCACGGCAGTGAGGAGGCACTCAAATACATCAGTGCTGAGCTCAGATTCTCCCACTTCCTTTTCCTCTTGCACAGACAGAACAATATGTAAGGATCAATAGGATGGATTAGGAACTAAGCCACTTGTGCAACGGGAAGAGCCCTGGCACAAACTGAATCTACAGTAACGGCTCCTGTTCACCCCCGCTTCCCCAGCAGGACTGCAGGAACAGCTGCCCATACTCAACGGCCATTTCCATTTTTTTTAAAGCAAACACAAGCCCCCCCGTGTACACCTCTGTATTTTGTCTTTATCACAGTGTCATCAGATCACATTCTGGCAAGGTACCGGACCTTACTAGCTCTTGTGTTCCTAGTACCTGGCCTGGCAACAGATCCTCAGGACGGAAGAAATAAACCCAACAGAATGATAAAGGGATGGAGTTTCAAAAAATGAACAGCAGCTTCAGTGTACACAAGGTTCTGTTTATAAAGACTAAACCAATTTCACATCTTTTCTCATACTTCTGGAATGAAAAATATTCTATAAGCAGTCAATATTTTTCTCCTCAAATTTCCAAACAGAAAACCCCTCATTGCACCCAGGTTGCAGCACCTTTGTTGCAGCCGGGCCTCCAGGGTGCCACCTATAGCCATGCTCACCCAAAGGGCCCACAGAGTGAAACCCACAAGCCCATGACACTACAGGGGAACACTGCTTCTTTTCCGCTTCCCTCTTTTTCTTTCTTCCTTCCTTCCTTCCTTCCTTCCTTCCTTCCTTCCTTCCTTCCTTCTCTTTCCTTCTCTCTCTCTCTCTTTTTCTTTCCTTCCTCCCTCCCTCCCTCCTTCCTTCCTTTCTTTTTCTTTCTTTTCTTGTTTTTTCTTCCTTCCTTCCTTCCTTCCTTGGAAAGTCAGATATACACAGACAAGGAGAGACAGAGAGGAAGATCCTCCATCCATTGATTCACTCCCCAAGTGACCGCAATGGCTGAAGCTGAGTCGATCCAAACCCAGGGGCCAGGAGTTTTCTCTGGGCCTCCCACATGGGTGCAGAGTCCCAAGACTTTGGGTCGTCCTCGACTGCTTTCCCGGGCCACAAGCAGGGAGGTGGATGGGAAGTGGGGCTGCCAGGATTAGAACCGGCGCCCATATGCTGCTTCTTTTTTAAGAACACTGTTTCACCCCACGTTAGGTACACTCCCTTTAGGGAGAGACGGCAGGCCGTCACTGCTGACCACTTTGTCACAAGCTGCACAGCAGGTGAACCCGTTGCTAAGGGTGTCACCAGCCCCTGTCCAGGATGAGGAGCCCTGGGCACGGGGGCCAGCTGCATCCCACCTGTCCCTCCTCCAGACCTCCGGACACAGTGATCACGTGTGACTGTGAGACAAGGCTGACCACAAGGACCAAAGAAAAGCACATGTTAAAATGGTCTGGAAGAAAGCCAGACTGAACGGGTTATACAAAGGAACAGTTATTACCATGAGGGGGTACTTAAAGTAGTCGCTATCGAGGGAGCACTCTTTGGCAGCGAGGGCCAGGCCTTGTAGGATGGGAATAAAGATCTATAAGAAAAAACAAAAGCACAAAATTAGAAATGTGAGTTACAGAAGTGAAGGGTGGGAAGCACTGTCAAATGAGGAGCTGCGGCGGGATGCCCAGGCCTTTCTGCTCCTTCCCCAGGAAAGCCTCTTTTGCACTAGAGTTCAACCATGGTTTTGCCTGGCTCTTTCACAGAATTCTAGCCATGAAATAATGCAGAGGAAGCTTCTGGAAGTGAGAGGGCAGGGCGCTCAGTGACTCGACACAGATGCACCAATGCGCAGCCTGATGAAGGACTCCCCAGGGCTCTGTGTATCAATTAGCACGCACCTACAATCAATAAAGGAACTGTACTAAGTGCTGCAATACTCTCTCAACTCTAGCAACATTTTTAGATAAAATTCTTTCTGTCTGGCAAAAGCAAGAAGAGACATATAATGGATATTATCATTACAGTAAGCTTAATTCAGAACAAAAAGACAGCAGGAGAACGTTAAAGTTGAAAAGCAAGACTTTCATCCGGATACATTCCCTCCGCACGTGGCGTGTGTGGTAAACAGGCACTTAGCTGAGTACTGGTGCATCACATTTACTCCACAAGCTGGTCATTATTACCAGGCAATGTGGCAAGGTTTGCTTAGTGCCCATGTAACTTTTGGATTAACAAATTGGGGAGCTGAGCAACACAGGAGTGGCGGTTAGGATTCAAGGCCAACAACACTGAGCAGAAGATACTGTCAATCTGAACGCGGACACGCTGCAAGGGGAACAGACCAGGAAGTCACGAGAAGGCCTGCCAGTTCCCTTCTTTGCCCTCCTGCCACACTGGGCACCCTTGGGTGACGAGCCAGGAGCTGCAGGGCGCCTGAGCTGATGCAGACCAAGACACCAGCAGGTGCTAGATGCCACCAGTCTGCAGCTCCACCAAGCAGGGTACAAGGAATACACCTCCGTATGCAGGGAATCCGGAAGTTACAACAACAAAGAAGATCCAGAATCTGAAAACTAAACTTCATAACTGAGCATCGTGAAAAATCTCTGAACATTATATTCAGGAATGTTGCAAGAAATGCATCGTCAATCTTTCCGGTTCTATTTAGACATGTAGGGTTTAATTTATAATCAATAGACAAAATAGACAAATATCATGCTTAGTCATATTATTTAGGTGACCAACATATTTTCAGTGGTTTTCAAGTAAACATTTCCTATCACCAATAAAAATGCTAAAAGCATTCAATTCTAAATCTATATTCTGGTTGTTATTTACCCAGGAATATTTCTCAAATATTAAAAGACATAAATTTCTTAAAATATTTAGTGGCTTCCATTTGCTAATCCTTTATTACAAAAAAGCATAATGTTACTCTTCAATCCACTCATCACTTCTCCCTAGATGAAATCCAACATGACAAAGCAGAAACAATGGACAGTGGTGAAGAGGCAGGATTCTGGAACTTGAACAAATGGGCACAGGCAGGGGCCGGAGCCACCACATTGTACACTTCAAATGAACGTGATCTGATGTGAGTTTCACCTCAATTCATAAAACCCGAGGTAACTTGACAACCTTTGCGTAAGTTTGATTAGAGGTACCACGGCGTCCAGCACAGGGCCTCTAACCTTTCCCCTATCTGCCAAAGCACTTCCACAGGGCCAGTCACACGGACAGGGCGCTCGCCTGAGTGGCAGAAATGGGCCCGTGTCTGCACAGTTCCCTAAACCAACAGTCCGAGCTTGGTCTCCTCTCGGAGCAGACCACATGTTCCTGCCCAAGCTGACGGCCAGCTCGGGAAGACACGTGGGCGAGCCTACCTGCTTGAACACTTCTTCATCCTGGTGCGTGGTCCTCACCAGCTCCTGCATGAAGCCGTAGGGAAGGTTCCTACACAGCATGTACGGCACTAGGTAGGACGGCTGCTGCAAGGACCTGGGGACCCACAAAATCAGGAGTGTGGGACCTCGTGTCAGCGACACTCGTCCCACCAAAGCCAAACGGAAACCGCCCAGCCCAAGTGAGCCTTTCTGCCACAAGCTATCACTTCTTGGTCTTTTACATCAAACACTGACTGAAGTTTGGAAGAACCTGTTTCTACACAGAGCCTGTTAAAAATGAAACGCTCAACCTTCCCTTACCTGCCTCCAAGCCTCATCTACATTGGGGAAAATAGATCAGCAATGCTTTTTGAAAAATGGTTTTTGAAAAACTTGGAACTTAAAAAAAAAAAGATTTATTTGAAAGGCAGAGGGGCTGGGCCCAGACGTCAGGGCCAACATCCACTGCCCTCAAAGGTGCATCAGCATGAGCTGGACTGAAAGCAGAGCAGCAGGGATTTAAGCCAGTGCCCACGTGAGATGTCAGCTTTATGAGGCCTAACCTGCTGTGCCTCACCGCACTGCTCCTACTCTATAACCCTTTGAAAGCATCAGTACCTGCACGCAGGTCGCCCCTGGATCTCTGCCTGCTCAGCCATGTGGGAGGTCATTGGCACACGGCACGATGTGCCAGGGGGAACCTGACTCTGGTTTTGGCTAATGGACAACTCAACCTGGCCTGTTCTCTGGGCATGTAACAAGAGCAGTGGGCTGTACCCCGGTATCTCTTCCCTGGCTGTGGATGAGCTGTGCTGGGACTTCCTTGATAAGCAACTCTAGGAAGTCAAATGCAACCCACAGCCTACCTGCCAGCCACACAGGGTGACCTGACCTGAGGCACAGCTGTGGCCGTGCATGTGGAACGTGACCTGTGACTTCGTCGGAGGGTCACGGGTAGGTGGGAGCACTGTCGCAGGAACGCCCTTTCTGCCTTTCCCTTGTCTAGCCTATATAAGTTTGTGCATGCTTTACAATAAACAGACATGCTAATGGTGGTTCTTACAGCCAAAGAACTCCAGTGCCTCACCCCCTCAGAGGTCTTGGGGCTGGCCCGCTGGCAGGAATAACCCCCAAGACATGGATACAATTTTTCTGCCTTTTAGAACATTTCTGAAACATGGTTATTGTATAAAAAGTAATATAAGGGGCCAGTGTGGTAGCTGAAGTCCTCGCTTTGCAGGCACCAGGATCCCATATGGGCGCTGGTTCGTGTTCTAACTGCTCCACTTCCCATCCAGCTTCCTGCTTGTGGTCTGGGAAATCAGTACAGGGGATCCTAGAGCCTTGGGACCCTGCAACCCCATGGGAGACCCAGAAGAAGCTCCTGGCTCCGGATTGGCTTAGTTCCAGCCTCTGCGGCCACTTGGGGAGTAAATCAACTAATGGAAGATCTTTGTCTCTCTTCTCTGTAAATCTGCCTTTCCAATAAAAATAAATACAGCTTAAAAAAATTAAAAATTAAACTAAATTGCTAACATGCTACAGCATGTTACATATATCTTCAATGGTGTATTTCAAAAAGCAAAGAGAAAGAACCCTGACAAAATGGCTCAGTGTCTAAATCCCCACTCTTACAAGCACCTGGATCCCATTTGGGCGCCAGTTCCAAACAAAAAAATTCTCAGCCTTTATCTTTTTGATCGCAAATACAACAGAACTTCAGAAAGTTTTGGCAAAACAAAATGGGTATTGGGCCCAGCATGACTAAATCCTTACCTCACACACACCAGAATCCCATATGAGCACCGGTTTGTGGCCTGGCTGCTCCAATTCCAGCCAGCTCCCTGCCTGGGGCCTGGGAAAGCAGTCGAGGACGGGCCAGGGCCTTGGGACCCTGCACCCTGGTGGCATGGGAGACACAAAGCCTTTGGACCTTGTACTCATGTGGGAAATCCAGAAGAAGCTCCTGGCTCCTGGCTTTGGATGGCTCAGCTTCAGCCATTGTGGCCACTTGGGGAGGGAACCAGCGATGGAAGATCTTTCTCACTGTCTCTGCTTCTTTCTGTAAATCGGATCTGCCACCCCAGCAAGTAAATAAATCAATCTCAAACTATTTTTAAAAAACAGCTTATTTATTATTTTTAATCTACTTACATGCTTTTCTGTTTTTCAAGATTTATTTTTTACTTTAAAGCTAGTTTACAGTGAAGAAGAGAAAGATCTTCTATTCACTGTTTCATTCCCCAAATGGCTGCAATAGCCAGAGCCAGGCCGATCCAAAGCCAGGAGCCAGGAGCTTCCTCTGTGTCTCCCACACGGGTGAAGGGGCCCAAGGACTTGAGTCATTCTCTGCTGCTTTCCCAGGCCATAAGCAGGGAGCTGGATTGAAAATGGAGCCACCAGGAAGAGAACATGCGAGCATATGGGATCCTGGTGCTTTGCCACCATGTTGCCCCCTTACTTCTTTTTAAAATACACTTTGCATTAGCAGAACAGAAAAAGTTTCATTTTCACCGTATTCTAAAGACTGGGAGGAACCTCAGCGCTCCTCTAATGACCCTCCCCTTCACAGGCAAGGAAGGAGGTTACCCGGGGCGGTGGGGCCTGGACCACCTGGTGTCCACGGAGGGCCAGGGCCTCCTCCGTACCTCGGCTGCGTGAGGGAGCCCTGCAGCACCAACGCAGTATGGGAGATGCACTGGGAACGGATGTTGCTCAGCAGCTGGCTGACTGCTGGCTGACTGCACATCTGCAAGAAAAGGTGGCCATTAACAATGTGAGGAACACATCCACTGCGTGCCCCAATAGTCCCCACTGCTTTTCCTTCACTCATCCAAGCCCATGGCCCCACTGCCGAAACCCAGTCGGAGAAGGCACCAGCCATGGGAGCCCTGGAGACATAGCCACACTCTGCTTCTGCTAAGGTTACGCACAACATCCCCCACACGCGTCCTTCACAAACAGGAAGCCAAACCCATAGGACAACTGGATTCCCCGCATCATGTAACTGGAGCCAAGAAGTGAATGAGGTTAAAAAACACTGAAGTCAGACAGCACCAAATAGATGCAGAATGCTGAAGCCAGCCTTGCAGCCTACTGTTAACGTGACTCTGGACTGAAGTCCACTAGCTTGTCCAGGTGGTGGGACAGAAAGTAGAGTAGCAGTCACATGCAAGCTCCAAATGAACTGAACATTGAGAACTCAGGCTGAAGGAGGCTCGGCCCAGCTCCTGGCAGGGAAGGTCCCTTCTTACACGACTGTAAACATCACCAGGGCCAGCAAGGGCACAGGGAAGTGTGCGGCCCAGAGGGTGGACTCTGAAACCAGCCACCTGCGCACTTCACGCCCCGCCTTCTCCACGCCTCAGGGCAGGGATCTCTGCTCCTGACCACAGCCCCAGATCCCGGCCCAGCAAACACTGGGAGCCCCTGTACCAACAGCCAACACGCAGGACTGTGCCTCAGGGGTAGAGGGAGGACTCTCCCCAACAAGCAGGCAGGGCTGGGGAGGAGGCGGGGAATCAATTCCGGGTTACCTTTGGTGCTTTTTTTTCCTCGATCCCGACTCGGTCAAAGCACTCGATGAGGTAGTTCAGCATGTCTGTTTCTTTGCAGGTCTCAATGGTGAAGTGGTCGCTGTAGGAATCCCAGTTACTCGCTCCAGCAGAGGCTCCCAAGCTTTGGGGAGGAATTGAAAAAGCAGGTGCCTTTCAGTGCCTCGTGCAGGATCTCTGCTGGGCATTTGCATGTGGGCAGCAGAAAGCCTGTTAGGATGCTGGCACCCAGAACACGCACAAACGCTCATGCAGCCAACACCGGGGCTGCCACCGGGCTCTGCTGCAGAGCCTCCCCAAGACGGTCACTTCTGCCAACGTTCTACAGACCTCAGAGGAGAGCCTGGGCTCAGCTGGGATGGTGCCTCGCAAAAGCACGGCTGAGGACTGCTACTATGCTCGAGGCATCCAAGGGGACGTAAGCCACACTGACCAGTGCCACGCCCCGCAAGCAGCCCTGCAGGAGGACGAGGGCTTAAGAACAACATCCAGTTATCACTATCAACACAAGCATTTCCAAAACTGTATTTCTTTGCTTTGTGAAAAAGCAAGAGCCACCTGCAGGGACACTTCCACGAAACCCGGGCAAGCGCTTTGTGAAGGATGGGCAGGTACAGGAGGAGGCACCTCTGCTGTTAGTTCTCAGAGACAAAACCCAAAGGTGTTCCTGAACGTTAGGGAAGTCAAGCTCAACCACCAACAGGTCATATACCAAACCTGGTGCTTAATTCACAAACTAATTTGGTATACACAAAAGATACACAGCAATTATTCATGGCACAACAAGAAGCAGGAAATTCAAAATGTAGAGGAAAAGAAAAATATAAACTTAGCTTAAAAAATGACACATCAAAGGTGAGAATAGAGTAGGACAATCTGAGGAGCCTGAGACACTTCTGACCTCAACCTGGGGCAGAAGCTAAAGGACCAGAACCGAAAAGGACCAAGGGTCCAGCAGTGTGCTGCCATTACGATGCTAGCAGCCTGAGTCCTGGCTGCCCCACGTCCAATCTACTTTCCTGACAATGTGCCTGGGAAGCAGTGGACGCTGGCATAAGGTCTTGGACCCCTACTGCCCACAAGGGAGACCTGGAAGAATTATCTGGCTTCAGGTTTCCTCCTGACCAATGCAGCCATCTGGGAAACGTACCAGCAACAGACGCTCTCTCTTTGTTAATGCTGCCTTTCAAGTAAATCTTTTTTTTTAAGTCACCCTGCCTGAGAAATGATCAATTAATAAACACAACACAAACAACAAACAAAAAGCCCTAAAAGAACTGACCTGAACTGAGAGACTGACATGCTATATACACAGATTTAGTAACTCCTGGACCACATATATAACTGACCTCAGAGTTTTGGGAAAAATGTAACTGATCTTGAAATGAAACAGCTATGAAAGCATTTCAGAAGGAATATGACAACCCTGCCAGTTTTACACTCAATGCTCGGGGCCAGAGCCCATAAGTTTCAGCTCGTATGCCCACCGCACACCCTGCCGGGGCAGAGGAGGTGAGCCTGGGGTATAAGGGCAGAGACACCTGCACACCGGACAGACAGCCTCACTCCAGCCCAAGGCAGCAGCACAGGAGCCGCGTCTCCAGGACCCCTGCTGGTATGCTGTGTTCATTCACAGGAGGATCAGGTATCTGCTAGTTGGTCTGCCAACAGCAAGGTGCGTACCACGACAGCGTGCGGGAACAGCAACAGGAGAGGGGCCAGAAGCCAGCCGAGATGCTCCCCATGGGAACACGAGCTTCCGCCCAGGCAGCATGTGGCTACTGCCTTCCGAGCAGCTCTCAGCGCTGACAATGGAAACAGCTCTTCCACTGGTTAGTATGAGAAATTAAAACCATATATATCCTGGGTAATAAGCCCAACATTTCTTACACTTTGAAGCATCTGACACGAAAACGCCCTTGTGCGTAAAGGTGAGGCCCTGGCAGCTGCAAGGAGATGGCCGGGTGTGGGAACAGCACCAGTGCAGGTACTCCTCAGAAGGCACTGCCCGCTGCAGCTGCCACGCCTCGGACCCATCCTGGCATCACAGTCCTCCTACCACTCTTTTTAAATTCTGAATTTGAAGCATGGTTTCTTTTTTTTGCTGTTCAGATTTATTTGAAAGGCACTGGTGGAGAGAGGAGAGGTCTTTTATCCACCAGTTTACTACTCAGATGATCACAACAGCCCATGCTGTCCAGGCCTTCAATATCGACCTTCATTGTCATCTGAAGCATTTTCCCAAGTATGTCACTAAGACAGATCCTCATCTGTAGCCAGGCAATGCAACAGAAGGTACCCCACAATGTGCCAGCTAACAATATACCCACACCCCACCCTGGGCACTGGGTTTGATTCCTGACTGTGGCTCCCAGCTCGAGCTTTACACTAATGCGGATTCTGCAGATAGCTGGGCTCCCGCCAGTCACACAAGCCATCGGGGTTGAGCTCCTGCATCATGGTTTTGATCCCCAGCCCAGAGCCACTACCAGCACCCGAGAGGAAACCAGCCGTGGGGACTACGTGTCTCCGCCTCCCAAGTAAATAAACAGATGGACTATTTCTTTTTTTTTTTTTAAGTACTGATTAGAGAATTTTTGCAGCTGAGTTTGGTTAGTCTAGTGGTCATCAACAAGCTGACTTTCCAGACAGAAAGATATGGATGCGAGGCAGAGGGAAAAAAGCTAAATAGGAGGATTTTTTCTTTTCTTTTTTTTTTTTATAAGGGACTGTAGAGTAAGCCCCAGTATGTTTCCAAATAGTCAGATCAACCTCAACACGCCAGAGGAAGTCAGAAGCACAGCACAGAAACTGGCCAGACATACAAGCTTGAGCGCATGTGTCAATGGAGCAGGCCAACTTAGTGGATGGCTTAGACTCAAAAAGAAGGAGTTGCATTCCAACTCCAAAGGCCATATGGAGGGAAACAGTAGTGTATAATTTATATACATAAATTTACACCATCAATAAGCCTTAAAATATTTAAACTAGTGCTTCATTTTTTCCTCAAAACCTTAAAAATTCAGGATACTTTTGCAACTGCCATATCTTAGAAATATGTCATATTTAAATCCTTAGAAAATCTAAGAAATTATAACACCCCCTCTCTGAGAAGACGTAGGCTTTTGATGACGCCCTCAGAGCTCGACCTGAACTATGCAATTCACGTAGCAGAAAGTAGCTCCAGGTTCCACGTGGCGACACGGCAGGTTCAGCTGCCCCTTGAGGTTCGCCCAGCCCCCTGAGGGACGCCCAGCCCGTATCTGAGCATCAGCTCCAGCCCGGGTCCTGGCCACTCTGCTTCCAATCCGACTTCCTACTAACACACCTGAAAATAGTGGAGACGGCTTCAACCTCTGCCACCCAATTTCATCCCGACTCCGCTCCATGTGCTGCGGCCAGTTGGGGAATGAAGCTCAAGATGGGAGACTTCTCGGGGGCTGGTGTGATGGCTCAGTGCCTTGGTGCCCTGCCTGCAGGCACTGGCATCCCATGTGGGTACCGATTCCTGTTCCAGGAACTCCACTTCCTATCCAGCTCCCCACTTGTGGCCCAGGAAAGTACTGGAGGACGGCCCAAAGCCTTGGGCTCCTGCACATGTGTGGGAGACCTGGAGGGGGACTCCAGGCTCCCGGCTTCGGATTGGCTCAGCTCTGGCCGTTGTGTCCATTTTGGTGGTGGTGAATCAGCAGCTGGAGGGTCTTTCTCTCTGTCTCTTTGTAAATCTGCCTTTACAATAAAAATAAATAAATCTTTGGCCAGGCACAACGGCTCAGTGGCAAAATCTCATTTTTGCAACCACCAGGATCCCATGAGGGCACTGGGTTGTGTCTCTACTGCCACACTTCACATCCAACTCCCTGCTTACGGCCTGGGAGACCAGCAGAGGATGGGACAAAGACCATGTCATTTACAAAACTGATTACATGGTCCCAAGACCCATACCCATGTGGGAGACTTAGATGAAGCTCCTGGCTCCTGGCTTCGGATAGACTCAGCTCCAGCCATTGCAGCCACTTGAATAATAATAACAAAAGAAATGTGGCTCAATCTCTGAAAACTCCTCCAGGCGACTCCCACGCCCTGGCACTGAGTGCCACTGGAATCTTGGCTTATGTGTGCGTCCAGAGGCAAATGGTTTCCCAGAGGGATTCTACTGTAATTCCTTCCCAAAGGTAACTTAGAAATTTTGCTTTTCTCAATAGAGGCAAAGTCAGACTTGTGCAGCTCCAAATCCTACAAACTCACTCAAGAAATCCGTGCTAAGCTCTGCTGGAGATGCCGGGGCAGAGCATGGGACCCGGCAGACAGAGCAGTCACACGAAGGATGCTGGCAACTAAAAACAAGGAACTAGCTGAGTGCTGCAGAACACACACACACACACAGCATAGGGCCCTCCTGTGTCCCATAGGGCAGGCAACAATTCTGAGCACGTCAGATTACTACAGCCTCTCTCCAGCCCTGGGGATTGGGTGTCAGTGGTCCTGACACAGACTCCAATTTGATCCAGGGAAAAACTTCAAATTAGCAACAAAAATGCACAACAGTGAGCTGAGTCTCAGAATGTGCTGACCTTGTCTGTCTTCTTATTTAAAGCCACCTAGAAAAACCTCTGTCGTCAGGTGAGAACATCTGGCAACATCAGTAACCGGCGTTAGCCTTGGCCACCCTCCCTAGGGCTCCTTAACCAGTGGGGTCTGGCTTTACCGCAGTCAGGGAATGCTCAGAGACACTTGGGGTTAGGAGCAAAAGCCACCAACCCCTCCGCCACCACTACTCCCCCAACTCTCTCTCTCTCTCTCTCTTTCACACACACACACCAGCTCCCAGCCCTTCACTCACCCTTAGACAGCAGTCACCCATGCAACTGCATTTCAGAAAGCAAAGCCCGAAGCTCGGAGGGCTCACAGGATAACGGAGGGTCTTTCAGTTCAGGTCCGAGGGTGGCTGAGTTTAATTATGACCCACCTTTATTTCCAGGTTTTTGAAGAGCAACAATACATAAAGTTCACTTCCAACCTTATCAAGCAATAAACTATGAAGATCTACGCATCTCCTTCTCCCAGGAGAAGTTCCTGACCCGTGCATCCCTGGTCCGGCCCAGCCCGCGTGCCCCTCTCCTGCCTGCATTCCAAGCACAACCTCAGGAGGGCTCCCAGAAGTTAGTTCCTAAGTACTAGGCACATGCAGGGTGAGGCTCCACTCCTGATACCTGGACCCAAACTGGACACAAGAAAAATCACCACCACCACCTTCATCATCATCATCATCATCCTCTTCAGCTTCTTCATCACTACTGTCCCCAGAAAGTGCGAGGAAGAGGAAGGAGAAGGGACTGCCGTACATACTACCACAACAGAAAGCAAAAAAGGTCATGAGGGCACGAAGGGAACACCCCGAGGAGCGCTTGTGGCGGCTGCTGTCTCGGCCCAAAGCCTGCTGCTGGAAGCTCGGGCCTGCTAGCATGCGGATAACGCAGCACATTTGAGAGAAGGGGCTGCTGGATTCGTGGAATTCTGCTTCTTCCCAAAAGGTAGAGACATGCAATCAAAAAGTGTCAGGGCAGGAGCCCCAGCGGCCAGGGCCGGAAGTGCCCCACAACTCCCTGGTCTGTGCTCCAGCCACTGGTGGCAACAACACAAGAAGTCCAAAGGAGGTGCCGTGAGACCCAAGCCGCACATACAGCATGGCCCACAGTCTGCAATTCTCTCGCCAAGACTGACAGGTGAACCAGACTGCAGTCAACAAAGCTCATTTTCTCTCTCCCGTACAAAAAGAAGCAAGAATCAGTGGAGGGAAGGAAAGAGAAACGCACAGCAAAGCAGCGCACACTTCCTGATGCAGCTGAGACCTGGCAGAAGCACGGACCCAGTTAGTGACACAGGTTAATGACCCGAAACAACCGCACGACGTGCCTGAGGTCAGCGGCACGCAGTTCTTCCCGAGCGTGTTAACCGCCCTTCCTTGCACTGCACACACTCACGCGCGTGCAGCTGCCTGCCGAACAGTACCTAGGGGAGGTCCCCACGGAGGACGAACGTCTGCTTGCAGCCCTCGGGGAGGCAGGTGGGAGGGGTGGGCCCATGCTGCCAGGCCTCTGTCCGGAGCTGCTGACGGGCACTGCCTGGGGACTACTGGCAGAGCCACGGAGGCTTGGGGAACTGGGCACGATGGAGGTGCTGGAGGACCTGGGGGCTGAGCAGGGGGCAGTCACCCCGGAGTGGGTGATAGTATAGGGGTGGTAGCGGGGAGATGAGGGCTGGCTTCCTGTACCGGCTCCAGCAGCTGTGCAGTGAGGGCTGAGGGAGGCAGAAGGCACGGCCGCCTGGCTGGCTGCCCGTGACGGGGAGGCAGAGGATGGAGCTGGCACGGACGCAGAGCTCCAGAAACTGCCTGTGGGGGCGGGGCTAGTTTCAAAGAGGCTGGATTCACACAAAAGGGGAGGAGAGAAGAGAAAAATCAAAGAAACACTTGACTTTAGTTAACTAAAATGGAAAGCATCAGGATTGTAAAGGATTGTACAATTACATTCTGTATCTGCAAGAGTTGGAGCATAATTTACAAACATCTAAATAATAACCTAATTATGAGTTCATTTAGAGGCTACATTTATAAAGCCCTCTTCCTAAAGAACAGTGTAGTAGGCAGCTCCAAAAATGTATTCTGCCAGTGGCCTTACCACAGGCAGCAAAGTAATAAGAAACATAAAATCCCCCAATTTACACGCAATAATACCAGTTCCAGCCGCTAAACCCACCCCCCAAAGAAGATCTATGCGAAAGGAATCCACTTCACGCGTCCCTTCTCCTACGCCTTTCACAGCTGACCGATCGGGTGTGCAAGGAGAGCCGCACTGACCTAGACAAAGAGCTGCTCCCGAAGGAGCCCACGCTGCAGAACATGGGGCTCGTCCCGGCGGCAGAGCCAGTACTGAGCAGCAGACTTCTGTCTGGCGAGCGAGCTGCCGTGGCGATGGGCTCGGACGTGGCCGTCAGGCTGGCGAAGGGGTTTTCATCCCTGGTCTGAGTGGACATCATTAGCACTTCCATTAAAATCTGGCCAATCAAGTCCTTAAAATCAGAGAAAACTGTTGGGAAGGCAGAATAAAGAACAGGTCACACACGTACTTCATTTACATGAGCCTCGAATAAAGCAAACTCTGCCAGTCGGGGCGGCTCGCGTGGCACCCCAGGCTGGATTCTGGATGGTAAAAGGACATGCACGACAAACCTGGCAAAAATCCCCATCAAGTCAGCTGCTGAGATAACAGCGATTGCTGGGTTTCTGACAAGCACATCCTGTTCACCTACGGTATCAGCAGGAAGTGACACGGAAATGGGCCCAGCCGATGCTATCTCGGGTCTGAACGTATTCCAAAAGCAAAGCTCACAGGAGAGCGTGGCGGAAGGGGAGGTGGCCGCCTGGGACCCTGGTTCCCGTGTCGGAGTGACCGCTGTGAGCCCCAACTCTGCCGCGAGCACAGCTCGCTGTCAACGTTCGAGTCTCGGTCACTGCCGTCCGCGCGAAGGCAGACTGCCGGCAGAGCTGGGCTCTGGCGCTGCCCTGCTTGGGGCTGGCATTCGGGACATGAGTCAGCACACAGAAGACTTGCTTTCTTTCTCTGCTTTCAAATTGAAAGTGAAAATAATTTTTTAAAAAGCAAAATAAAATAAAAGTTGGCAGTGCAGTCAATGACTGTCATTGCTCTTAAAGAATAAAAATACTAGATTAATATTTCTTAGCTTCTATGCAGTTTACACATTAAGTTCAAGGTTGAGTTTTTTATTTTTATTCAAACAGAGAAGTTTTATTTGTAAAGTGACGAGGCAAACAGGAAAAGCCAAAGGGGAAAGCATCTCCCAGGAGGCGGGGTGCTTCTTGAAAGGAGAGACACCCCAAGTTCAGATTTGAAAAGGCTCCCAGGGCAGGCTGCCAGCTGGCTGCAGCAGAGCCGACATCAGGGTTTCCTTCTCCTGCTGTGCAGTTCCCAAAGGACTTGCCGTTGGGCTTTAGATATATCCAAAATATTCCTAAACAAGTTACAGTTCTACCTGTATAAATGCTATCTGATTTGCGAATCTTAAGACTTACAGGGCCTGGTGCAGTAGCCTAGTGGCTAAAGTCCTTGCCTTGCACGTGGCGGGATCCCATATGGGCACCAGTTCTAATTCCTGTGGCCACGCTTCCCATGCAGCTCCCTGCTTGTGACCTGAGAAAGCAGCCCACGACGCCCCAAAGCCTTGAGACCCTCTATCTGTGTGGAGACCAAGAAGAGGCTCTGGACTCATGGCTTTGGATTGGCTCAGCTCCAGCTATTGAAGCCACTTGGGGAGTGAATTATCAGATGGAAGATCTTCCTCTCTGTCTCTCCTTCTGTCTATATATCTGATTTTCCAATAAAAATAAAATAAATCTTAAAAAAAAAAAGAAAGACTCTGAACAACAATAACGTACAGCAGGGTTCTGAGCTCATCTCTCGGCAGCCAGGGAGGGAAGGAGAGCCCGGGAGAGAGGCCGTGCCTTCCTCCCTAGGGAACCGAGGGGCTGGGTCCCCTCCTCCATGTTGGCCTGTCCATCACAATGGCGCCCCGAAGGGGCTGCCTGGCACGAGCCCCCCCAGGCACAGGGACACAGCAGTGGGCACACAGAGCAGTCTCCCCCGCACACACGCTATGCAGATTCTGTTCCTATGAGATGCAAAAAGACCCTCCCAGACCTCTTCTGTATTCCACGCGATTTGCATTAAAAACTGCAGTGCTCTATCAGGCTGGCGTTGTGCCGGGATTTTATTAATTTTGTTAATAAGCTGGTTTTGCAAAACCTCTTAAAATAGAATCCTGGAGACACGGCAAGATGACATTAAGCTCCAGCTCGCTGAGTAATCCAGGCAAGCCAGTGGTGCCCCCTGTGCGCATGCGCATGGCGAGCACCTCTCAGGATCTGGGGAGACCCAGTCCATTCCACATTGTAACAGGTGTGAGGACTATAAGCAGCTTCTTTCTGCAACCTTGGGGTCTGGCATGCTAGCCTAGTGGCTAAGGTCCTCGCTTTGCACGCACTGGGATCCCATATGGGCGCCGGTTCTAATCCTGGCAGTTCCACTTCCCATCCAGCTCCCTGCTTGTAGCCTAGGAAAGGAGTAGAGCACAGTCCAAAGCCTTGGGACCCTGCACCCATATGGAAGACTAGGAAGAAGCTCCTGGCTTCTGGCTTCAGATCAGCTCAGCTCTGGACATTGTAGCCACTTGGGCAGTGAACCAATGGATGAAGATCTTTCTGTATCTCCTTCTCTCTGTATATCTGCCTTTCCAATAGAAAATAAATCTGAAAAAAAAAATCCACAACCCTGAGACAATGAAACCATTAACTTAATTTTTTAGAAGTCGGGATACGAAAGAGGAAGGAGCTCCGAGTTGGGAACACTGAGGTGCGAGCACGCACAGCGGCCCGGCGGCCCCGGGCGCAGCTGGCCAGCAGGCCGAGGAGCCAGTCCTACCTTCTTTCGCATTCTGCTTAAACTGCGCAGAGAGAGAAGAAAGAAAGATAACATCTCTGTCACGGTCCTTCCAAGAGACGCGGAAGATCTTACAGACCAGCTGCAAGGCCTGCTCTTCGGACACTTCGGGGCCCGAGGAAGGCTCCTGGGGAGGAAGCGGATGCGGGGTTAATTCCCAACAGAAGGCATGAGCTTGACACATCAGCAGGTACATTTTATTCCAATTTCATTCACTCAAACCACATTCAATCATCACACAGATTAACAAAAAGCTAACTTGTGACCCCCGGTCTCAGGAGCAGATCCTGTCAGGGCATGGACAAGGGTCCCATCAGGACACAGCCAGGAAGCAGCCGGGTGGGGATGCAGCTACACCCTGGCTCTCCACACTCAGCCGTCTAGAGACATCGGTGGACTGTCTTTCCAGAATTGGGCTACACTTTAATGTTTCTAGTACAGCCCACTGTAGACAGAACAGCATACAACTCAAGGCCCCGGACCAGCAGGAAGCCACGCTCCCACGTCTAAGTCATCAGCATGTTGCTAGGCAACTGCCTATCGCCTAAGGATCAGAAAATGATGCACTTGGCTGTACCATGACACTGAAAACACACACATGTGAGTGTGCATAATATGCCAAAAAAACCTGAACAGAGGGAATTTAAGTTCATGTAATAAATGGTTTCAAAATTTCAATTTTTAAATTCATCTAGTAAATGCTTGCTCCTGAATGCTACACATGCTTACTTCAATACCCTCTTGTTTCCACAGCAGCCCGCTGAAGTGATGACCATCTATCTGCTTGCTGAAGGAAAGCAGTAACAGAAAGTTTACACATCTTCCCTATGACAAACTAAAGGTAAGGATTGAAAACACGCACCTGAACCAAAGACCACTGAAGGGGATGATCACGTGAGCGGCCAGAGCCACATCCCAAACACAGGGACACTCACAGCCACACCCACAGGCACAGTACCTGCGCCTTCAGCTGACTCCTCTCCTAGCCCCTCCACGAACTGGACACGCGTGGCACCTGCAGCCTGGGGTGGCTCCTCTTCCAGCCTCTGCATGGACCTGCTGCCTGCGGCGCCTGCGGCCTCTGCATGGACCTGCTGCCTGCGGCCTCTGCATGGACCTGCTGCCTACGGCGCCTCTGGCCTCTGCATGGACCTGCTGCCTGCGGCGCCTGCGGCCTCTGCATGGACCTGCTGCCTACGGCGCCTCCGGCCTCTGCATGGACCTGCTGCCTGCGGCGCCTGCGGCCTCTGCATGGACCTGCTGCCTGCGGCGCCTGCGGCCTCTGCATGGACCTGCTGCCTGCGGCGCCTGCGGCCTCTGCATGGACCTGCTGCCTGCGGCACCTGCGGCCCCACGGAAGCCCAGGGCCCAGCTCTCATCACCCACCTTATCGCCGAGGATCCGCTTCTCTCTCCGATCATTTTCATCAACCTCCATATTTTCAATTCCTGAATCCACATCCACCTGGGACATGCTTTAAGTACAAAAGACAAACATACCTTTTACCTCTTCTAACCCGCACAATGTGACAGACTCTATTTGGGATAAAATCTTAAAATATCAGCTAAAATCAATTAGGAAAGCAAAATGACAAAAGATCCACTTTCTTTTCTTATTAAATTGTAAAAGCTTTTTACATACTAGGACATAAGACATTCCATGCAGCACATGTGTGGGAAATATTTTTCTCCAAGTTTTCATTTTCTTGGGCTCAAGTTTTAAAAAATAATTAGACCCTGTTCATATTTTGAAATTACAAAACTCAAACCAGTGTCCGACTACAGAAATTGGTTGAGTATCTACAAGTTTTCTCCACATTAGATACTTGACCCAAGTACCATACACTACAAAGAGTAACCACTTCACATTAGTATGAAGTCTCCTATAACACATGTCCAAGCTTCACAAATGGGGGGGGGTGTCCCTATGTCAGCACACCCATTTTTGTCTCACTGGGCAATCTGCCCCAGGGCCAACAGCACTGCCTGTCTTGCCGTAACTCAGGATCTGTCGAGCTCTGCTACATGAATGCCTCCTCCTGCGCCCATCTGCAGATACCCTGGGCTCGTCCCGGCCTGCTCCACACACACTCCACAGTCAGCAGCACGGGTACCTGGCGCAGGCTGCTGAGAGCAGTCCTAGGATGTGACTGACTCTGCAGAGCAAGCTTTGGAGAGAGCTGATGGCAGCTAGAGTCTGAGTACTCAGATTTTCTTTGAGCGCTTTCAATAATTTTGTACAGATTTATCTACAAAACTCTAAAACTTTCTTTGCTAAATTTTCTCATAGGTACCAGATAGGTTTTAATAAAATGGTGAACGGTGGCTTTGTAAAAACTGGGTTTGGGGGCTGGGTGCCTGATGTGCTGGTTAAAATGCCACAGCCCGTGAGGGAGTCGCCTGCACGTGCCCTGCTTGTGACTCCAGCTTTCGGCTACTACAGACCCTTGGAGGCCCCGACGGTGGCTCAGCGACCAGCTTCCTGCCACCCACGCGGGAGACTGTCTCAGTTGCTGCTCCTGCCCTCAGCCCTGGCCCAGCCTGGCCGTGGTGGGCACCGGTGGGGTGGACCAGAGGCTGCCCTGTCCCTGTGCTTCCATCTATATCAAGTAAATATTTTGTTCCACGAAATTATCTAGCTTTTGCTGTGGGCACCTGGTCATGTAACTGTCACTTACACTGGGATCATCAATTAGTGTCCACATAGGAATAGTCTTGTTTCTTCCACTGGAATCCTACTAGTTTACTGCTCTGGCCACACCCCCAATTAAACAGAAACAAAAGGACAGGTCACCTTTGTTCTCATGACTGAATTTGATATGCGCCTTGCTACAGTGTTTCGGGTAGATGTTCTTAATAGCAGTCAGAAAATCGGCTATACTGCCATAACACATTCACTCGGCAATCTTAGAGGCTTAACACTATAAGGGTTTATTTCTTGCTTACGCCAAGTCTGACGAGAGTGAAGCATCCTGACTCCATCTTTAATCTATGCCATCTGCAATACACAGCCTCCAAGGTCACTGGAGCGAGAGAAGAGAGGGATGGAGGAGGAACATGGGCTCGCCGCCTTCACCTCAACGTGACACACGCCACTCCCACTCCTAGTCACTCAGTCCCACTCGAACTGCAAAGGAGCCTGGCAAGTCCACGGGCTCGTCGAACCCTGGCAGTCAACCCTGCCAGGTTAAGCAGCCTCTCTGGTCCTCACTGGCTTCAATTTTTATCACAAACTAGCGTGGAATTTCCTCAGAACCAATATTACAACGATTTTCCCTTTAATATATAACATAGTGGGGTGTTATCAATTTTCATGATGTTAATAACACACTTCAGAATTCCTAAGATAAACTCAAGCTGATGATGGTCAATTCTGCTTATAACATTACAGTATTTTTTTCAGACTGGTCCTAGCCCCTGCAACCTCAGCCCCTCTGGTCCTCGGGAAGCGCAGTGCTGGCAGCGACCCCTACAGGCAGCTCCCAGTGCTGGCAGGGTGTCCTTTTGTCAGTCTTGAGATTTCTGCAAACACGTGTGTTCATGAGCACGACTGTGTAATTAGTTTTCTTCTGTAAAATCATTCCTGTCTGGTTTTATTATTATTTTTTTTAATTGGAAAGGCGGATATACAGAGAGGAAGATCTTCCGTCCGATGATTCACTCCCCAAGTGAGCGCAACGGGCCGACACTATGCCGATCCGAGGCCAGGAGCCTCTTCCGGGTCTCCCACGCGGGTGCAGGATCCCAAAGCTTTGGGCCGTCCTTGACTGCTTTCCCGGGCCACAGGCAGGGAGCTGGAAGGGAAGCGGGGCTGCCGGGATTAGAACCGGCGCCCATATGGGATCCCGGGCGTGCAAGGCGAGGACCTATAACCACTTGCGCCACCGCGCCGGGCCCTCCTGTCTGGTTTTAATGTTAAGGTCACATTTGCCTTGTAAAATGGGCTCAAGTGTTTTGTATTTCTTTAATTATCTGGAAAATTCGGTGTAAAATTGGAATTAACCTAGAAAGTCATATTGTAAGTGAAAATGGACCGTGGGTGCCATGGCCTAGGTGTGGAGCCACCCCTGGGGAGCCCACCCTGCACGTTGGGGTGCCTGTGGCTGGGCTCCCCACTCCAGCCTCCTGACCACGCGCCCTCAGCAGGTGCCGGCTCAGGTAGTCTTGCCCCATGTCCAGACACACTGGGCTTGCCTCAGCGGTCTTGTCCTCAGAAAAAGAACCAGCAGATGGGAACTCTGGCTGCCTCTCTTTATGTTAAAGAACATAAATATTTTCTGTGGAAAAATATATTATTTCCTATTTCCTTGATTCTTTCAATTCTTCCTCCTTGAGGCAATTTTGGGAAGAACTATGCTTTTTCTCAGAATTTAATTTCTATCCAATTTTTCAAATTTATTATGCACTTTTTTCATAATTAAAAAAACTTTTAATTTTATATCTGCTACACATCCATTAACTCAATTATAACCTGTAATTGAATAAAACGTTGAAACATATCAATTAACTAGTTATATGCCATATGTTTCTCCCAAATTCTGCAATGATTATTTTCTTAAAATTATATCAATGTTGCTCAAGTTCAAGTAATACGGACTACTGTTTATATGGTAGGAGAAATCAAAAACAAAGACAAATAGGTAATGCAACAAAAGAGAGATGATTATGCATTTCGTATATTCACTTTTCCTTTTCATAGAACATCCTTCAATTACAAGTATTACTGGGCCCGGCGCCATAGTGTAATGGTTAAGGTCCTCGCCTTGAACACACCGGGAGCCCATATGGGTGCCAGTTCTAATCCCGGCAGCTCCACTTCCCATCCAGCTCCCTGCTTGTGGCCTGGAAAAAACAGTCAAGGATGGCCCAAAGCCTTGGGACCCTGCACCCGCGTGGGAGACCTGGAAAGAAGTTCCTGGGTCCTGGCTTCAGATCGGGGCAGCACCGGCCATTGCAGCCACTTGGGGAGTGAATCATTGGGTGGAAGATCTTCCTTTCTGTCTCTTCTCCACTCTGTAAATCTGCCTTTCCAATAAAATAAATAAATCTTTAAAAAAATAAAAAGTATTACTGACTTGCATTTCTTCGGAGTCGCTGTTGTTACACGTGGGAGATGCTGGCGAACAAAAGACAATAATTACTGAATGGGCCAACGCCAAGAGTGGCATGCCAAGTCTCTATTAATCTGCCTGTTAAAAAAAAATCCAGATTCCAGCACAGTGACCCAGTGGCTAAAGTCCTCTCCTTGAACGCACCCAGGATCCAATATGGGCGCCAGTTCTAATCCCGGCAGCCCCACTTCCCATCCAGCTCCCTGCTGTGGCCTGGGAAAGTAGTCAAGGATGGCCCAATGTCTAGGGACCCTGCACCCGTGTGGGAGACCTGGAGCAGGTTCCTGGCTCCTGGCTTTGGATAGGGGCAGCACCAGCCATTGCGCTCACCTGGGGAGTGAATCATGGGACGGAAGATCTTCCTCTCTGTCTCTCCTCCTCTTTGTATATCTGACTTTCCAATAAAAATAAATAAATCTTTAAAAAAAATCTAGGGACTGGCGCAGTGGCCTAGCGGCTAACGTCCTCTCCTTGAACGTACCCCAGATCCCATATGGGCGCCAGTTCTAATCCCGGCAGCCCCGCTTCCCTTCCAGCTCCCTGCTTGTGGCCTGGGAAAGCAGTCGAGGACAGCCCAATGCTTTGGAACCCTGCACCCACGTAGGAGACCTGGAGGAAGTTCCTGGCTCCTGGCTCCTGGCTCCCAATCGGCACAGCGCCGGGCGTTGTACTCACTTGGGGTGTGAATCATCAAACAGAAGATCTTCCTCTCTGTCTCTCCTCCTCTTTGTATCTGACATTGTAATAAAAATAAATAAATCTTTTTAAAAAATCTAATAACAAGGCAGGGAGCTACATGGTGCAGTGACATAGCAAACTAATCCTCCACCTGAAGCACCAGCATCCCATGAGCACCAATCTGTGTCCCAGCTGCTCCATTCCCTGCTGTTGGCCCGGAAGCCAGCAGCGAAGGGCCCAGGTCCACCCACTGGGGGGACACAGAGGAAGCTTCTGGAATCTATCTGGCTCCTGGCTCTGGACTGGCCCTACTCTGGCCACTGAGGCCATTTGAAGAGAGAACAGGGGCTGGAAAATCTCTCAATCTTTTTTTCTTTCTTTCTCTTTCCTTTTTCTGTAACTCTGCCTTTCACATAAAACTTAAAAAAAAAAATTACTAAATAATTAAATACTCTGCCCCACAAGTCTACATCCTAGATAATAAACATAACCAATAAGCAAAACATATTAAATGATAAACGCTATGGGAAATATAAAAGCAGAGAGAAGGCAGTGACGGACGCAGGCACTGCCCACGTCATCGGGTGGGCGGGGCTCCCACGCGTGTCCAGGGACCGGCACTGCAGAGAGGAGCCAGCCTCAAAACGTATCTACTCCTTCTCTGTCTTTCCTTCATTCCTTTTGAA